TTTTTTTCTTAATGAGACTGGTTAAAAGTTTGTCAGTCTTGTTCATCTTGATTATTGTTTCAAAGAACTAGCTCTTGGTTTCATTGATTTTTTTGTAGTTCTTTTTCATTCTGCTTCATTTATTTCTGGTCAGATCCTTATTATTTCTTTTCTCCTACTCACTTTGGGCTTTGTTTGTTGTTGTTTTTTCTAGTTTCTTTAAATGTAAAGTTAGATTGCTTATTTCAGATATTTCTTGTGGTAGGCCTGTAATGCTATGAATTCCCCTCACAGGACTGCTTTTGCTGTCTCCCATAATTTGGGGTTGTTGTGTTCTCATTTTCATTTCTTTCAACCTAGCTTTTGATTTATTCCTTGATCTCATTGTTAACCTATTCATTGTTTAACATGTTATTAAGCCTCCACATATTTGTGTTTTTTCTTGTAATTGATTTTTACTTTTATACCATTACTGTCAGAGAAGATGCATGATTTGATTTCAAACTCCTTAAGTTTATTGAGACTTGTGTTGTGTCCTAACATGTTGTCTACCCTAGAAAATGTTTCATGTGCACTTGAAAAGAAGGTGTATTCTGCTGCTCTGGATGACATTTTCTGAAGATAACAATTAAATCCATCTGATCTAGTGTGTTATTTAAGGCTGTGCTGTCACAGTTTTAATTTCCCAGATATCTTTTTAAAACTTGCTTGTGGATGTATTACCTCTTATTTCTCTGATGATATAAATAACTATTACTTTTATTTCTTGGCTTTCTTCTCTTTGAATTGCCTATTCACCTGGAATTCCTCTGTTTGTTTGTGTAGGCCTCCTTCTTACAAGTTGGAGATTTCCTCAGATGCCTGGTGTTCTTTGGCTGGCTGTTTATAGTTAAGAGTAGGACATTAGAATATTGATTAGAAGCTCTGTGTCAGTATGCAAGCATGTCAAGTGGTGAGCAAAACTTTAAGGGTGACCCAGCCATTTCTTGGCCACCCCTCCTAACCTTCAATATACTTAAGATTTTTCTCTTGCACTTGTTCATTTGCCAGGGAATCATGCTTTCATCTCAATTATGAGGGTATAAGTACAGCTTCCTGCATTTAGGGGGCTGAGTGGAAGAAGGGAACTAAAGGTATAACCATTTGGTATGAAGAATTTCACTTCATGTCCGTATGCTTTCCTGGCATCTGAAATCCAGAGTTTCTTTAGTTCAGCCTCTCTAAAACATAAACCTCCAGTCATCTGCCAGGACCAAGAAGAGGTTGCACTCTCACTGTGCTCAGGTTTGCAGGAGGGAATCAAACAATCCTGTTTTCAGCTCCACCTATACCACTGATTTTACGGCCTCCTGGTGCCTCCAATCCCTGCAACCTGCTGTAGCCTACAGCACTAATAAGTTTGCTTTTTGGGTTTCCAATGCCAGCTTAAATTGCAACTGTCTTAGTCTGGTTCCATTACCATTCTTCCATGTGCTTTCCTGTTCCCAAAATGGTGTCATTTTTGCTCTTCCCCCATCTTTGAGAATTAACGCATTTAAAAAAATAATCCCTTTAGTATCTTCAGGAAGAAACAAATAAATGTATATGTTCAATCTGGTATGCTAAACCACTGTTTCTCCTATGTGAAACACTGCCTTCTCTTCTCACCTGTCACTATTTGGTCTCCTACCTCTGTGGTGCTCTGGCCCAGTTTTATTCACTGTCATCTCCCCATCTGTTCAATCTTTAAATGTGGAGGGCCTTGGAATTGCTCCTGGACATCTACTGTTCTTTACATTCCTTCTCTTGATGACCTCACTTGTGTCAGGATTTGTCTACAGCAAGGGAGACTACTTCTGCCTAATGAACCGCTCCTTTTTATATTTCTAAGCATTTCAAATGTAGCAGAATTTTTAAAATTTTTATTATTTTCTTTTTTTCAGAGAGAGACATCGATTTGTTCTTCCATTATTGAGGCTTTCATTAGTTGCTTCTTGTATGTGCCCTAACTAGAGATCGAACCCACATTGTTGTCATATCAGGATGACACTGTAACCAACTGACCTACCCCACCAGGTCTCCAAATGTAGCAGAATTCTTGATCTCCTGCCCGAAACTTGCTACCCTGTAAAGGCTGCTCATCTTTCCATCTTCTGTTTCAGTTACTCAAGCCAAAACCCGAGTCATGCTTGATTCCTTTTCTCTTACTCTAAACATGCAAGCCATCAAAACCCATCAAGTCTACCTCCAAAATATTTCTAGAAACCATCCCTTTCTGCTAGCACTAGCAGAACTACACAAGCCACCATCTTTTGCCTGGCCTCCTACAATAGCCTCTTCATGGCTCCCTTGCCTCACTTTCCCTTGTTTTCCCCTCCTCCTCACCTGCGTAAATTATCTTCTCAGTGATTAAGTCTATCTTTCTGAAAGACAGACTATACCACACTTGGTTTAAAACCCTCCAAAGGTTTCCACTTCACAAAAAGCCCAGATAGACTCCTTATCTTGGTTTATAAGTACTTGTATAATTTCACCCTTCCAAATTTCTTTAATTTCATCTGCACTACCTGCCTCCCCCAAACTCTAGCCACACTGACTTTTCTGAACATGAGCAGCTCAATCCTATAATTGGGTTTTCACAACCTATTTCCTCTATCTGGAATGTTCTTCTTGTCACTTAGGCCTCAGCTTAAATGTTACTTTCTCCAAACACTGCCAAATGTCCCCTGTGGGATAAAATGCCCCCTAGTTGAGAACTACTGGTTTAAAAGAATTTTCACTGCACAATGGTCAAGAAGGGGTCTTCCATTAAGTCTGGTAAAGGTCTGGCATCATAGAGTCATTCAAAGTTTGTTTTTAATCAGCTTCAGCTAGTTGGAGCCCATGGGAATGAAACATGAGTTTCAACAGTTTCCAAGTGAATGCTGTGGTGAGGGAATGTGAAATCTAGGGAGAAATATTATGAGAAGCATGGTCTTAAATTCATTAGCAAACAAGTAATTAGCTGCAATAAAAATAGTAAATATACAGTAAAGAAATCGGGCAACATCTTAACCAAGTGACCAAATATAATCTCATTTATGGTGGACAGACGAACATCATGTGTCTGCAGAGCTGATCCCCTAAGAACATATGTTATGGTATAATAGCTAAGAATGCACAGCCTCTATTTCAATCACAAGAAACCACCAAACAAACACAAAAATAAGACAGTTTCATTTTTTGAAAGTAGCCCTAACTGGTGTGGCTCAGTTGGTTGAGCATCATCCCACAAAGTAAAAGGTCACTAGTTCAGTTCCTCATTAGGGTACATGCCTGGGTTGAGAGTTTGGTCCCGGGTGGGGCACATACAAGAGGCAACCAATTGATATTTTTCTCTCGCATCTATGTTGCTCTCCTTCTTTCTCCCTCCTTTCCCCTCTCTCTGAAAATAAATAAAAATCTTTTTTAAAAAAGCAGCAGGGGCCTTGGCTGGTGTGGGTCAGAGGACTGAGCACTGGCTTGGGAATCAAAGGGTTGCTGGTTTGATTCCCAGTCAGGGCACATGTCTGGATTGAGGGCCAGTTCCCCAGCTCTGGGAGAGGGAACCATACATTGATGTTTATCTCCCCCTTTCTCCCTCCTTTTCTCTAAAAATTAATTAATTAATTTAATTAAAATTAGTACTAGAGGTGCTGTATTCTTTTAAAACATCGATGTTATGAAAGACAAAGAAAAGCTGTGATAACTGTTCCGAATTAAAAGAGCCTAAAGAGACATGACAGCTAAATGTAACATCTGACCCTAGACTGGATCATGTACTGGGGGAGGGAAAATGCTGTAAAGGATATTTCTATTAGGTCAATGGACAAAAAGAAATATAAAAACCAGGGTGAATAAAATACAATAAAGTAAAGCAAAAAAGGAAAAAGGGCTCATGGACATGAAAAAATTATAAGTAAAATTTTGAAGTTATTAACTGTTTATGTTTTTGTAACAGATCATGTTTTTCTTAGGCAATACACACCGCAGAATTAAAAGATAAAAGGCCATGATATAGATATATATAAATCAATAGATAGATGGATCTATTGATCTATATATCTGACCCTCAAATGTTTCAAGAAAAAAAAACCATATAGTTTATACAGAGAGAGAAAGAGGGAGATTAAGTAAATGATGAAGGAAATGGGGTAACATGTTAAGGATAGTTGAATCTAAGTAAAGGGTATACATATGTTTATATTTTTGTTTGAAATTTTTTGATGTTTGAAATTATTCTCAAAAAGCTAAAACAAAAGATTGGCTTTGGAAAATAATTTGATTGAAGGAATCTAGCACGTTAAGAAAATAACAATATTCTTCTGATACAATTAGCTTGGTGGAATTATCACAAAACCCCCCTCCCTCAGGCTACCACCCACCCCTCCCAATCCTCTCCCCTCCCCCCCCAAAAGAGACAAACTACATTTAGTACCCACATTACTAATTTGTGATTCTGGAAAAGTTACCTAAGTAACTTCTGGAAAAGTTCTCTGGGCTTCAGTCCCTCCAGAGTACTGTTGGAAAGATCAAATGAAAGAACTCCTATCAAAGATTTTCTGGCTACATAACACCATATACATTTCTATATATACGGAAAGTGTGAAACAATAACTAAGACTAGAGCCATCGTGCTTTTTTTGCCATGCAGGTTGTGGCTGCTCCACTGTCATTTTTCCAAGCCAACTTTTCCCCTGGGTTACATCAAGGAACGCACAAGTTCGAAGGGCCGGCAAGGCCTGGCCTGACCTCTCCAGGTGATTGCCCCAAATGCCCGAGAGCGCAGGCGCGGAGCCAGACCAAGTTTGGGCTCCTCTCTCTGGCCCCACCTTCTCTCGAATTCAGTCGCGGGATCGCCTTGGAGACGCATTCTCGGGGAATGAGCAGCCGCCAATGGGAAGGGAGCGAGTGCCACGAACCGACCAATAAGGAGGGGGAAGTGCGGGGTTTAAATCTGAGCCTGGGTCTGCCTCTCCCAGCGTGCTGTGGAGGAACGGTTGTTGCATTCAGGTCCCCGGCTCGTCGGGGGCTCCCGTTTTCTGCTTCTTCCCACTGAGCTGCAACCTGGTGGAGAGGAAGCCATGGCGCTCCGGGTCACCAGGGTGAGCTGCTGCAGACGGTGAACAAACACGGTCTTTCTCGCTTAGTGTTCTCATCTCGCCTGCCGGCGCCCCCCGGGTGGGAACAGACCAGGGCAGAGACTTGAGGAGGAAGATGGGGGTGTCTGTGGGGCCCTGGCATTGTGGGGGAGTTTGGAGGTCTTCCCGACGGAAATTGGAAGGTGACAAAGAGAGCTGGATGGGCCTTGGATGAATATGGGGGTTGGTGCGGGGGAACGGAGGAGGGTCGACGGGCAACCTTTTCTAAAAGGTAATGGAGGCCCCCTGTGTGGTCTTCCACCAACTAAATTAACTCCGTCCCGGAAGGAAAAGAAAGTGCCGGCAATTGAAGACGTTTTTTATTTCCTTTCAAGTGTAAATTCGTGTTTTAGTGCCAGCGGCAATAAATGGGCAAATCCCTCAGTATGTGAGTGAAAAGGTTCGGGAGGAAACCGACTTGTCAAGGTCTTGGCGTAGACCCTGCAACCCGAGTTTCCCGTGGTTCACAACCGACTTCCCTCCGGAACCTCTCTCTTGGCTTACTTTAACCCCTGACTTAGTCTAACCTGGCTGGGCCAGCTCTCAAAAATGGCCTCGTTCTTTCAGAATACGAAAATTAATGCTGAAAACAAGGCGAAGATCAATATGGCAGGCGCAAAGCGTGTGCCTTTGGCCACCGCTGCAGCCTCCAAGGTCGGACTGCGGCCAAGAACCGCACTTGGAGACATCGGGAACAACGTCAGTGAACAGCCACAGGCCAAATTGCCTCTGAAAAAGGTAACTATCTTTCTGATCCAACGTATCTGTAAAAGTCCACCTTCCAACTGTGATCCCGGATTGAGAAACATATTCTCTCCCATTCATCCACAGGAGGCAAAACCTTTAACTGCTGGAAAAGTTATTGCTAAAAAACTACCAAAACCACTGGAAAAGGCGCCTGAGCCCGAGCCCGAGCCTGTGCCTGTGCTAGAACCGGCGCCGGCGCTGGTGCCAGAACCTGAGGCTGTTAAAGAAGAAAAACTTTCACCGGAGCCTATTTTGGTAAACTTACTTAACTATTTTAGAGTCTGTTGATTTTTTTTTTTTACGACTCTCAGTTTACTCTAATGCATGGAATAGCGTTTCAATAAATAATAACAGTAACATAGAGTACACTGGTAAGCACTTTAAATGCATTAACTCACATCTTATATTCTCTTAGCTAGTATTATTACTTCTTTGTAAATAATGACCTAGAGAAGTATTAAGTATGATCTAGAGACAAATCAGTGGCACATACTGCATTCAAACCCAGTTTTGTCTGGCTTTGAACTTACGCCTTTTTTTTTTTTTAATCCTCACTTGAGGATATGTTTTTATTGATTTTAGAGAGAAAAGGGAGGGAGGGAGAAAGAAAAAAAAAGAGAAAGAAATATTGATGTGAGAGAAACATTAATCAGTTGCTTCCCCTACATGCCCCCAACCAGGGCTCAACCTAGGTATGTGCTCTACCATAATCGAACCCACAACCTTTTGGTTTATAGGACAATGCTCCAACCACCTGAGCCACTCTGTCAGGGCCAGAGCCTATGCTTTTAATCACTTTGTTCATTGTTTTGAGTAGTAGCTGCCTGGACCAAAGATTAAGCTGTCTTTGGTACAAACCCTCTTTGACCAGAATTTATTGACCGAAACATAGATTGTTCTTTTGAATCTTTAATTCATTATTATAGCCACTAAATACTTAATAAACCTGTAACATATATAATGGGTGTAAAGCAGGGAAAAAATGTAGCTCTTCAGAGATTAGGTAAGAAGATGAGTTAACAGCTTCAAAAACCTAGTATTTCTATTACGTATTAGGTGAATGTATCTACTGTAAAGGAAAAACAGGCCATCTGGAAGAGGTTGCTTTGTGAAATTATAATGAAATGTGTTCTGAAGCCCTAGTTTTAAAAACTTAATACAACCAGTTGGGAAAATCTGTAAAAGTTATTCAGGCTGGCTTCTTATATATAAGAATATAAGATTTAAGGCTGTTGGTTTAGCACTGGCTTTCTGGACATAGCACAGTCTTTAATTAGCCATTCCAAACTACCTGAGCTTTCCTTGAAAGTCCCATATTGATTTTTGCCTTTGCTTTCACACAAATTTAAAATGCCTTCCCCACTCTCTTTCATTTAGCTAATAATCTTTTCATCAAAACATCTTGGATATCAACTCCTGAAGATTTGCCTAACTTCCCCCACCCCAACCATTGTTCCTAGAATCAGTCTCTTTACTTCACTTTAAGTTCAAAACTCCTTGAGAACATAAAGTCAGTGGCTAGCACAGAGCTTGGCTTGAAGAAAGTGCTCAATCAGTGAACAATGGGGTAACTGAAGTTTGAAGGAAATGGCTAATGAAATATTTAATAATTAATAGGACAGAACTTGTATTCTCTTGAGCCATGACAAGTGGTTCATGTTTTGAAATAAAGATGAAAGCTGACTTGCCATTCATTTGGATTAACTTCACGTGACACTGATAAAGACATTTATTACTTACCACTCTCCTTTGGAGTAATGTCCAGAATCTGAATTTATTTACTTTTCTGTTTTTCCTGTTAGCATTTAGATTCTGCTGACTTCAAGTTGGCATTTTACTTTTCATATTAATCACTTCCTAAAAAGAAACAGAATAAATTTAAAAGATGATACTTGATCTTTAAGGAAATTAATTGCATGACAACTCAGCAAATGGTCTCTTGAGCTGGTACCAATCTGATCTTTATTCTTAGATTGCATGCCCCTCTTTGCTGTTAGCTCAAAAGGTTTCTCTGTTTCAAGGTTGATACTCCCTCTCCAAGCCCAATGGAAACATCTGGCTGTGCCCCTGCAGAAGAATATCTGTGTCAGGCTTTCTCTGATGTAATTCTTGCAGTGAATGATGTGGATGCAGAAGATGGAGCTGATCCAAACCTTTGTAGTGAATATGTGAAAGATATCTATACTTACCTGAGACAACTTGAGGTCAGTATTATGATTAGAATCTGCTTTTTCTAAACTGCATCTAGATTTATTAAAGATATTTGCCATTAACAGTTTACAATAATTCAAGCAGGATGTGAGAAAAACATTTTTTTAACAGTAGATTCCACCAGCAAATTCTCCTTCATGGAATACAAAAAAAAAAGCCCTGGCTGGTGTGGCTCAGTGAATTGAATGCTGGCCTGCGAACCAAAGGGTCTTTAAAAAAATAAATAAATAAAATTAAATTAAAAGAAAAATCACTACACAAACCAATGAAGTCTTAATTTACCATTTTTAGAAGGTTTTATTTATTTATTTTTAGAAAGGGGGGAGGAAGGGAGAAAGAAAGGGAGAGAAACATCAACGTGTAGTTCTCACATCCCCCCCCCCCAACTAAGGACCTGCCACAACCCAGGTCATGTGCACTGAGAATGAAACTGGAGACTCTGTGGTTCACAGGCCAGCACACAATCCATTGAGCCACACCAGCCAGGGCTTAATTTGCCGTTTTGAATAAGGAAATTTTAGAGTGAAATTTCATACTACCATGGCTCTTTCTAATGCAAAGTCCACAGATTGAATGATATATTATGATATATTTATATCCGTCACAGAAGCTGTCAAGTCCCAAACTCTGGAAAAACTATAATCACCCCAACACAAAACATTTTGGTTCAGTGTGGCTGTGAAACTGTTCTCTGTGTCCAAGAAGAATACACTCAAAAACTAAAGTTTTGGTTTTCTTTTATTTCATCCCACTTCTGAAACTTTTTATTAGTGGCATTTGTCCTCTCCCCCCAAAAGGAAGCATTCTGTATGCTAACAACATAAGCTATACGGTTGTCAGATTTACCCAATTTTTCATAATGCATGCTCTAATCCCTGACATCATTAGCATTTTCAATCTCTTGCCTGTTTCTTTGGGGCATCTCTATTTTCTACACAGTTGTCCTAAGATGACTTCCTTGCCAGGACCAGCCATCTGCTTTGAGTTTCTTCTCCCCTTTTAAAGTTTGTATTCCAACTTTGGAGGAGTAGATTTAGCAGATGGATGTGCTAGTCCTTGATCGTTCACTCTCCTAACACGTGGTGCTTGGGGGGTTTAAAGCCCTGGGCAGGAGAATGGTAGCCCATGGTTTCTAGCTGATCTGAGAACTGCTGCTATTTTTCTCTATTTCATAAAGCTCAGATTCTGGGTTTAGAGCCTTAGGTAAAAAGATGGGAGATGATAGAAGGGTATCTTTATTTGGGAGTAAGTAGATACAGAATGTGGGCCAGTAGGGGGCAATGGTGAGTTGAACATAAGATCTGACAATATGAAAAACCTGTCCCACTGTCGTACTTAATGTTTGCATGCTTTTGGTAGTGACCACATGAATAATTAACTTAAGGACTGTTAGAGATCCTAAATGTCCCAGAGCTATTCTGGTAACTAATGTTTCTTTTTCTTTTCTTTTTTTGAAGATTTTATTTTTATTTATTTATTTTTAGAGAGAGGGGAAGGGAGGGAGAACAAAAGGGAGAGAAACATCATCGTGTGGTTGCCTCTAACGTGGCCCCCACTGGAGACCTAGCCTGAAACCCAGGCATGTGCCCTGGCTGGGAATTGAATCGATGACATTTTGGTTCACAGCTCACACTTAATCCACTGAGCTACATCAGCCAGGGCTGGTAACTAATATCTCTGATCAGAAATGTCACATGGAGTGTTGCTTCTGAAAATCAGCATTTCTTTTGCAGGAAGAGCAGGCAGTCAAACCAAAATACCTACTAGGTCGGGAAGTCACTGGAAACATGAGAGCCATCCTAATTGATTGGCTGGTGCAGGTTCAAATGAAATTCAGATTGCTACAGGAGACCATGTATATGACTGTTTCCATTATTGATCGGTTCATGCAGGTGAGCATAATTCAGTAATTGAGGGTTCTGTCTTCCAGGGTCCTAGCTGAGTCATGAAAAACTGACCTTTTCAGCTAAAATCTGTTTTGGGGATAGATTGTCATAGAGATTTTGCTCTGGGAATATGTCTTCCCCACCTCTTTCATAGCTAGGTGTCTCCTTTTTCAAAAACATATTCATCCAGTTAAAATTCCCATTACAGAATAATTTGGTGCCCAAGAAGATGCTGCAGCTGCTTGGTGTCACTGCCATGTTTATTGCAAGCAAATATGAAGAAATGTACCCTCCAGAAATTGGTGACTTTGCCTTTGTAACTGATAACACCTACACTAAGCTCCAAATCAGACAAATGGAAATGAAGATTCTGAGAGCTTTAAATTTCAGTCTCGGTCGTCCTCTACCCCTGCATTTCCTTCGGAGAGCATCTAAGATTGGAGAGGTATAGATCTCTTAAGGAACCTTTGATGTAGTACATTAGAGAATACTGCTGACCAAGCAGATAGAATTCATCTGACATACCTAACTACATGGGGAAAGGGTAAACATATTTATGTCCACTCAGGCTGTATATTAATATCATTAAGGCCTTCCATGGGCCATTGCACTTGAGAGTTTATAGGTAAACATTTATAGCTACAGTTATGGGCATACTGGTTATTGCCATAGCAAAATTTTCTGACAGCTCAGTAACCTGTGTGTGGATTTTGTTCCAGGTTGATGTGGAGCAGCATACTTTGGCCAAATACCTGATGGAACTAAGTATGTTAGACTACGATATGGTGCACTTTCTTCCTTCTCAGATTGCAGCAGGAGCTTTTTGTTTAGCACTGAAAATACTCGATAATGGTGAATGGGTAAGTTCTGTCTCACAGATCTAGGTTGCCCTAAGTTTGTAAATTGTAAATATTATTTGCCTGAGTACAGAACTGTTTTCACTAAAGGACAGTTCAAATGGTTCCTAAATATGCCGTTATGGAGGGAATGATTAAAGATGATATCCTGCTTGTGATGTCTTCATAGAATGTTTTCATTTCATTACCTAATTGCATCTTTCTGTATCCCTTTGAGAAAGGCAGAGCCACTGATACTCCTTATAAATGGGAAAGGTCAAGCAAGTCAAATGACGTACTAGAAGTTCATTCATATTCATTGATTCAACAAGAATTTCTGTGTGCCATGTGCTATTCTAGGCCTAGGAATAGAGAAAGTGGGCCTTAAGGAACTCATCTAGGTTTGGAGTGGACAAGTCAGTAATTTATTGGCTCGAGCACAGGATATTAGAGAAGCATGAAGGAGGAGTGTCTAGGGAAAGGGGTCTTAAGCTTGTCTTAAATTTCAATTATAATCAGTCATACGGTATCTGTCTCCCTACCTTCTTAAATAACATCTAGAAATTTTATGAAAGTTATTGTTGATGAGCATTTTTAACATGAACTTTTGTTGTCTTAGACACCAGTTCTACAGTATTACCTGTCATACACTGAAGAATCCCTTCTTGTTGTTATGCAACACCTTGCTAAGAATATAGTCATGGTGAATCGTGGGCTTACAAAGCACATGGTGAGTCCCATCAGTGACACCTCAGGAGGCTGTGGGAAAAGTGAAAATAATTAAAACTTCATGCCTGCAAATCATAGCTTATTTTTAAGAACTTATGTTTTATATGAATAGCTGTACCAACTGGATCTTATGTTTTCCTCTTTTCCTTCATTAATTACTACGCTTTTCTCTTGCAGACTATCAAGAACAAGTATGCCGCATCTAAGCATGCTAAGATCAGCACTCTAGCTCAGCTGAATTCTGCACTAGTTCAAGATTTAGCCAAGGCTGTGGCAAAGGTGTAACTTGTAAACTTGAGTTGGAGTACAGTAATATCTGCAAATACAATTGGCACCATGTGCTATCTGTATATATTATATGTTACATTTACTTACTTTTAATAAAGCTATTGTCCTTTTAATTCTCATACTTTAGTTCATTTGAATGTGGCTACTTCCTACTGTAGGGTACATTAAAAGGTGTCTTAAAGATATGGTGGGGAATATTGGATGTAAAAAGTGCTTTCAGTTAACCTGGAAACCCAACTAATATATATAATTGTTGCTTATGTAGTTCTTGTTTTATGTACCTAACTTTTACTTTATTAATGGGAATTACTGAGGTTATGAAGGCATTCAAAACTCTATTTTCACAGAGCATACTACATGTAAGCCCAGTTATCTTGGAGAATTTGCTGCTTTGTTCTACTTCAGTAAAAGTCTACTTTATACCTAGACCCCGTTTTCTGTTTCTTCTGGTGGTTGCTGCCATAATTCTAGTAACTTACTTTTACCACTGTTTCTTAAGTTATCATGTTTAGTATCAACTTTTAACTTGGAAAAATAAGAACTCTAATCTATATTCTAAACCTACTTGACTTTGTTTTATTGGTTGAGAAAATAAAAGAGGCTCCTTATTAAACATACAAAAGTTTATTTTACCCCCTCCCCCAACTTTCATCCCTACATCTCTCCCATCCACCTGAACTTTGGGATATATCTTTTCCGGACTTCTATAAACAAAGACATGTGTGTAAATTGTGGAGATTTTTAAAAATGAAATTGTTCTATTTACTCAGCAATTCCTTTCAACTTGTATGGACCTTACCTGTATTTCAGTATTATATTCCATAATATAGTATAATATAGTCAGTCATTCTGTTGACATTCAGATTGCTTATTTTCTTCGCCACTGTGCTGTTTAAATATCATTAAATACCATGTCATTTTTTAACACATAATGGGTTCTCCCATGAGTGTGTTTGTTCTCACTTCTAGCGGATGCTGCCGGATGACTCTTGGTGTCATCAGCAATACACAAAAGTGCTTGTTTTCTCTGCAGTCTTGCCAGAACTAATGGTAATCATTCTCTTCAATTTCCATGAATTTGGCAAAAAAATATTGTTTGTTGCTTTAATTTATACTTCTAATGGCTACTTTAATAAATTTTTGTTGCCTAACTGATCAATATACAAGGCTTTCCTGGCTTGTTATTTGCCCTTCATTAATGCTGTTGTTTGCCATGCAGATATTCACAGCTTTTATATTATCAAATCTATTTTTTTCTGTAGTCGCTTTTAGATTTTCATTGTTAAAGTCATCTCCATCCCAAAACCATATCTTCTAAAATTAAAAAATGTATCCATTTAGACTTGTAATTGCTGTGGTATGAGGTGGGATTCTTTCTTCCAGATGGGTGCCTATTCATCCCAGTCCAGCTGAACTGGAACATCAGTGCCCATCTACTGCTCCCTGGTCTCTTTGTTTGTTTGTTTTTTCTGTGATAAACTTAATATAAAACTATATTATCTGGTAAGATAAGGCTATACTATTTTTTTCAAATATTAGGGGGAAATTTTCAAACATACATGAACTTTAAAATTGTTTTTTACCAAAAAGCTTTTGAAATATTGACTATTATGTATATAGTATATTATATCCTAGGTTGAAATAGATTTACATTTTCTCTACCCAGAAGCATTTTTCTCTATCAAGTTTTGTTGCAAATCCTTGAATAGAGTGTTAGGACTTAATTATATAATTGCTGCACTTTTCCTGTCAAGTTTTGGGGGGTTTTATCTGTTCATCTACAAATGGGTTAGCACCAGCTAACCCATTTGTAGCACATGTGTTTCCTGATGTGTTGTCAAACTTATTATCTGGGGGGGATTTAAATTATATTATTTATGCTATTAACAGTTGTCCCAATTTTTTTTCCTTTGCCCCCTTCACCTCGTTTATTATTGGGTTTAAGTTTTCTGCCACTATTATAATGAGTAGAATCTAATTTATACTTTATTCTTTATTGCTCGTGTTTTTACCCAACTGACCTCAATTTTCTTTTTTTTTTTTTTTTAAGATTTTTATTTATTTATCTTTAGAGGGGAAGGGAATGTATGGTTGCCTCTTGTGGGTCCCCGGCTGGGAACTGGTCTGCAGTCCAGGCATGTGCCTTGACTGGGAATCGAACCTCAATCCTCTGGTTTGCCCGTGCTCAATCCACTGAGCTACACCAGCCAGGGCCTCAATTTTCTTACTCGATTTTTTAGTGGTGTTTTCTAGGCCTTAAATCCAAAAATTTTATTTTTCAACATTTATGGTATTTATTGTATTAGAATACCCAAAATAATCATTGATAATAGGTAGATCTCTGACTTGTTCCTTGATTGGACATCTCAGGTATTTTTACCATTTAATATTTTTGCTGTTAGTCTTTAAGTAATCTTTACATTTTAAGTATTTTTCTATTCATTTAGAATTATATGCAAAGCTATGGAGTTTCATTTACTTTTTCAGCTTATGATATTAGGGTTTTTCTCTTTTAATTTAATAGAATAATCTTTGTTATAGGTTTCCTAAAGTGAAATGAATTCTCACTCATGATTTAATTTGTTAATGTCTCATTTTAAAATTTTTGCATCTCATTTGGGAAATTGGTTCAGTTTTTCTTGCTACCATTTTTGGGGTTTTCTCTTACTAGCTTTTAAAGGTAGATTAAAGAGACTTCCATCTTCAAGTCTTTATAATTTGAAATCCTTATTTGTTTATTGAAAATTAACTAAATTAATTATAAAGTTATTTGACTCAGAACTGTTTAAATGGTAGTTTTCAATGGCCTTTTGGTCTATTAGGGATCTTTTTTTCCATTTCTATTATCCATCCTAGGTTTTTTCAGTTATAACTGTAGAGGTACATGATGTAATTAATCTTTTCTGTATTATAGTTATTTTCTTTATCATTTCTGATATTAAATACTTTTGTTTTCTAGTCAGACTTGGCCAAGGTATTGGTCTTTATCTGTGTTGAAAGAATCAGCCCTGGCTGGTGTGGCTCAGTGAATTGAGCAAGGGTCCTGAGAACCCGAGGATGGGTGGTGCAATTCCCAGTTGGCACATTCCTGGGACGGGGGCTAGGTCCCCAGTAGGGGGCGCTCGAAGGGGGAAAGACACGTTGATGTTTTCCCTTTCTCCTTCCCTTCCCCTCTAATTTTTTAAAAGAATTAATGTTTGGTGTTAAGAATTTCTACCATTTTTGTTTCATAGTTTTAGCTTTTATGTTCATTCTCGCCATCTGTTTTTCTATTGGTAATTATCTAATTTAACTTAAATACTTCATGTATTTTAGTAATAAAAGCATTTACGTTTTCCAGTGAAAGAAATAGCTTCAGAAATACTATTTCTGAAGTAGTCCTTCTCATCAGTTTCTTGTTAACTTAAAAATTCTTTTGGAGTTCTTTTCGGAAGATTATTTAAGTGCTCATTTTCTAAGTAGTTTCTTAAAATTTGTCAGGCCCTTCCCTGGTGGCCTGGTTGGAAAACCATCCCATACACCAAAAGGTTGTGGCTTTAATTCATGTCAGGGTACACTCCTTAGTTGTGGGTTCAGACCCTGATTGGGGCAAGTATGTGAAGTAACTGGTCCACGACTGTCTCTCTCTGCCTCTCCCCCAACTAGTCCCTCCTGCGCCCCTCCCTTGAAAATCAATAAACATGCTCAGAAGAGGATTAAAATTTTTTTTTGTCAGACATCTTTATGTTGGTGGTTTTAATTGCACTGGAGATCAAGTTTGTAAAAAGCTTAATTTTTTTTAATTTTTGTAATTTTGCTTTTTAAAGCAAAATACAGTACTGAAGTGCTGTTTGGTGTCCCTAAAGCAGAGAAGGCTGTGAAGAGCACTTCTGGTTACTCTGAATTTTCTTTAAAGAAGTTATTGTGGGTTTTTGTTTGTTCTTAAATATTTTATTTCTAGAGAGGGGAAGGAGAATCAGAGGGAAACATCAATGTGCAGTTGCCTCTCGCGCCTGCCCCCCCACTGGGGGCGTGGTCCGCAACCCAGGCATGTGCCCTAACTGGGAATTGCACTGGTGACCCTTTGGTTCCCAGGCCTCGGCTCAACCCACTGAACCACACCAACCAGGGCAAAAGTTATGTTAAAACCCAATTACTGCAGTGGTTCTTAAAAGTGTCCGCAACCAGCAATATCAGTATCACCTAGAACTTGTTAGAAATGCAACTCAGTTTAGGCGCCTAACAATCTGTTTTAACCAGCGATTCTGATGTATGCTCAGATTGGGGAGCTACTACTACATTATCTTTGTCCCAAATTTGGCCAGTAGACACCTGATAGCCAACTGCTTAAAAGGATAAGATTGATTTTGTAAGACATCCCGGGTAAATTAGGGTAGGGTCGCTTTTGTGTAAAAAAAAATAAACAAAACGTTCTTTCAGGAATTTGGGGGTACGAGTGGCGAACATTACTTACATTCTACGGTGCATTTTGAATCTTTTGCCAGGAGTTGTATTTAATAAAGGAGAGGAAGAAAGGGGAGTCATGTAAGCAAGTACAACTTGGGAAACTAGCTATGGAAGGGTGAGAAATCCATGTTGCTGGGCATGTGCCACGAGGACAGTGTCCCTGACACCGCCGTCCCTAATGAAAAACTATAGCTCGACCAGGCATTCATAGGTCCCGCTCACTGGCCAGCTAAGAAAGCTCAACTGTAACCCGTGGAATCAACAAGCTGACACTTAGAGGCACTTCTGTTACGAGTACGATTTTTACTGATAAGGGAGTTCCACGCTAGATGTCTGCAGTTCAAGTATCTGCTCTGCCTCATAATGGGGCGTGGGCACCTTTGAACTTGGGCCACTCGTTACTCCGCCAAACGAGGGGTCTGGACCTTAAGAGCTCAGCTCACAAGTCTTCTAAAACCTCTAATATTTCTTCCCCAGCCTACCGTTTCCGCGGGTGGACAGGGAGTGCCAAGACAGGTTTAAAAAAAACCCACAAACAAACAAATCCCGCTGTCCCACAGATCCTCTGTCCCAGACCGAAGGCTGAATAAGCTATTTATGTCGGGGTTTTACCCACCAGGTTGCGGTTCCCGACAGCGCCCACGAGTGTTCCAAGCGGCTATAGCCCAGCCTCTAGCCAAACACTCGGAAGAGATGGCGCTTAATTATAGTTCTTCAAACTTGCACTAGTCGTTTGTATCGACTTCAAAATAGAAGAGTCAGGATATAAGGGACAACGTAACCTGAAGTAACCGAAGAACAAAACGGAAGGGGCGGGCCCGCAGGGCGGAAGAGGCAGGGCGGGACGACCCGGCTCACCAACCTCTTCCGGGCGTCAATTTGGTGGCGGGAAAAGCGACCTTTTCCGAGAGCTCCTGGCCGGTCCTATGTAGTAGCCCTTCGTGGGAGCCGGGATGGAAAAGCAACTGGAGAACCAAGCTGCCGCCGCGCCCGCGAACTCTGGAGAGGAGGGCGGACTGCCGCCGGGCGCCGGGGCCCAAAAGCATTCAGAGGACCAAATGACCCTGCTGCTCAGGTTGTTTGTTCCCTCTGGCCCGCTGCGAGCAGTGGCCCGAGAGCTCCGCCTTTCGCGCTGAATAGCCTAAAGGTTTCTAATTCAGTCTCGGTCCCCGAATGGCTGTGTGACTACATCATTCGATAATAATTCCTTCGTCTTCAAAAAGAAGATGGGGGAGAAAAATGACACCCTCCTGTCACCGTTGCTAAAGAGGTTAAATGAGATAGTTTGGGGCAAGTGTTCAGCATAGTGTTCTTAAGAGCTTTCGCAGTTTTGTTCTCCCAAAGAAGTTTGGGAGAAAGAAGTTTTGTTCTTTCTTATCCCTTCACCCGCTTGGGGCCGCGATTTTCGAGCTTCTTGGGTGCATCCAAGCCCTAAGCTACTGGGGGAGGTAGCCCCGCCCCTTTTAGCGCTACAGCCCCTTTCAATCCAGAAGGGGTTTTTTTTTTGTTCTTATTTGTTTTATTTTCTATCAACAGGGTGATTTTTATACCTTCCCACTAAGCAGTTGGCAGGGGAAGATTTGCTGGGAAGGGATATCAGTCTTCTAACCATTGGGCAAACCACAACCAAGTACATTACTGCCTGTTTTTGTGTGACTCCCTCAGGCTAAGAATAGTTTTTATTTTTATGTCTTTAAGGATTGAGGGAAAACTTACAAGAAGAATATTTAATAACACGTGAAAATCATGAAATTCAAGTCTCATTGCCCTTAAGTAAAATCTTATTTTTACTTAACACAGCTTTCCTGCTACAAGGAAAGAATTGAGTAATTACAACACAGACAATATGACTGACAAATCCTAAAATATTTGCTACTCGCTTCTTTACAAAAGAAGTTTGCTGATCATTCAAAATCATAGCAAGGGGATTTTTTTTTAAAAAAAGCACTGTAACTTTGTCAGGTTGACCACTGCTGTGGGTAATAAAGATCAGAAGCTCACTTTAAAAATTCCTCATGACCTGGCTGGTGTGGGTAAGTTGGTTGGAGCACAGTCCTATAAACCGAAAGTTCCTCGCTTGGATTCCATCAGGGAATGCCTAGGTTGCAAGTTAGGTCTCTGGCTGGGGCATGTACAAGACCAACCCATCAATCTTTCCTTCCCTCCCTCCCTTCCCATCTCAGAAATCAATAAGCATGTCCTTGGGTGAGGATTAAAGGATAATAAATAAATAAATATTCTCTCCTACTTGTAATATAAAATACTAAAACATTAAAGATAGGGGAACTAATCTTTTAGTGTGTCTTATAAAATGCTAGCCTAATTAACATCTAAGGAATGGCTCTCTTCATTTGGAATTTTGAAACATTAACTGCCATGGAGCTTTAGAAATTTGTCTATTGTGCCTTAGCTTTTTATTTTTAAGATTTTGTTTATTTTTAGAGAGATGGGAAGGGAGAGAAACGTGTGAGAGATACAGTGATTCAGCTGCCTCTTGCACACTCCAACTGAGGATCTGGACCTCAACTCAAGCATGTGCTCTGACCAGGTGTCCAACCCACAACCTTTTCAGTTTGCAGGCCAGGTGCTCAATCTACTGAGCCATAGTAGCCAGGGCTCTTTTTAAAAAGGTCTCAAAGTCACAAAGCAACAGTTTCAATTTTATGAAACTACCATGTAAGTGAAACATCTTGTAAGTACAACTTAACTAATTACCATTTAGCCATAGCTTTTCTACTTATTATATGTATGATTTTAAATTAAGTAGAATCATAGAACAGCTAAGAAACTACATTTTACTTATCTATCCAAGAATTAGTATCTTTGTTATTTTTCTGGATCTCCTGTGCATTTAACAGTCTGGCTATAAACTCATCAGTGTTTGCAGACTTCCGCATTTTGATCTAGTTTTTTTGTGTAACATTTCTCATTAAGCCCTATTAAAGGCCTATTAAGAACAAATTGAAATATGTATAATTTAAGTATACAAGTGATGTAGAGTCGTGTGCCTGAAACCTATATAATGTTATTAACCAGTATCACCCCCAAAGAATTCAATAAATAAAGCAAAAAGAATACATTTGAAAATCAAATTTTTAACTTTTCTTCACAGACGCTGTTTTCTACTGTATTTCATTTTGTTGTCTTCCTCTGAGACCTTAAAATTTTTTATGCCCATTTTAAATAAAATAAGGCAAAACTAGAAGACTTTAGTGCTGCTTATTTATATTTATTTTGTTGTATTAGTTTCCAAAAAATGAGTTACTTTATTATTGCAGTAAGGAGTAAAACCTCAATAAATATATGACTTTCTCTTTTATGTTTTCAGACTGAAAGCACAGACACAACAACAACTCTTGGAATATAAATCAATGGTTGGTGCAAGTAAGTATTTGCATTTCCTTTTTTTAAGATGTTATTTATCTATCTACCTATCTATCTATCTTTTGAATCTTTATGGGCACTTTATTCAGATAGTCAGTGATCTGAAAAGAAGGTGGGTTTGTCTACTACCAGGCTGTCTTAAATCCCATTTTCAACCAACCCTTTTTATAAGGAGAAGAAAAGTGTAGGTAATGGGTTTGTAATTCAGGGAAAAAGTATCTCAGATTAAAAAAAAAAAAAGCATTCTCTAATCTGTGCCCTGGGCAGTGGTCTTTATCTGTGTCTTCTGTGGTGAGTGTTGGGCTTCAGTCCCTGGAGCACAATAGCTCAGGTGCCATCTTGATTGCCTGCAGTCCTCCTGTGGCCCAAAGGTGGAGCTGCTTATGGCCTCATAGAGTCAAGGTGGGTTATACTTCCAGTTCCTGAAACAATACCTGATAACATGCCTTTGCAAAAGTAATTTCTCTTTTTCTGGACCCCTCAAACAACAGGCAATACCCTTCTCTTTTGATAGTAATGTATAAAATAATGTGCACAACTGCCATTCTCTGGAGCATTTTCTCAACTCATTAAGGTTTTGCTTCCTGGAAATTGTCATCAGTTTGTCTCAAATAAACTCATAAAAATTCTCTGAGGGTTTGAATGTTTCTTACATTGGTCTAACTTAATCTAAATTATGTTTCAGTTCCTGAGCTCTAAGGCAGACCCTTGGCATCTCTCTTTGAGACTGTTTCTGCAGACTAATTTATTTATTTTTAGAGAGAGGCAAAGAGGGAGAGAAACACCGGTTGCCTTCTGTGCACACTCCATTCCCAGGACTGAACCAGCAAAACAGGCACGTGCCCTGACCAAGAATCTAACTGAGGGCCTTTCTTTTTGTGGGGTGACATCCAGCGAACTGAGGCACACTGTCAGGGCATGTTTGCATTTTCAAATAAGGTTTTTTGAGTTTGATGAGTACTCTAGAGAAAAGACAGTCAGCTTTACAAAAAGTTACTTACTTAGTGAATAGGAGTGGCAGCATAATGCTGTATTATACCATGTAAGAAGGCAAAAAGCAGGCTTGCCCAGGCCCTCTAGAACTAGTTAGGGATTCAGGAAATATATGTCAAGAAACACATGGTTATATCTAAATAACAATGCAAGGCAATTAAGTTCTATTGATTAGAGAACTGAGAGATCCCAGTGGGCTTAAGAAATCATAGAACTTGCTACCATCAATTTAAAGACTGAATTAGCAGGTCATATAACTATGAAGCAAGTGATCCGGGACCTATACTTTGAGAAGCACTGGGTAATAGGAATGAGAGGCAAAGGGGGATCAGCTTAAAGAAACGAATGACAATTTTTTATTGTAAACACATAATTTTTTAATTTATCTTTTAAAATTATTAATTTAGAAGTCTTTGGGACCAAGAGAGTAGTAAAATGATGGGTTTCAACCTCCAGAAGCAATAATTGCCTGTTGCCACCTAACTCATGAGCCCTTGGCTCACAAAGGCAGGCTTGGTGAACCTTGTTTTCTGTATGAAATAGGCTTAAAGAATAAAATCAAATAATGCATTGACTCAAGAACTGTTATTCAATACTATTGAAATAAAGAATCTCATAGATGTCTGAGTCACTTCATCTGAATCTGTGTTTGAACTTAGGTAATTTTCAGACACTGCTCAAATTTTATTTCAAAGCCATAGATCAGCAGCAGTTCTGCTGTGTTTTCCATTGGATACTCTTGGGTTTGTAAAGTTTTTTTATGCAAAAACAAACAAAAAACTAACTAAAAATGAGGCCTGTAGCTTCTTTTCTGCTTACTACAACTAAAAAATTAGGAACTAGGATATGAACCAGGCCTTCTTGCCTCCAAAGCCATGACCCTTCCATTATATAAGTAATGCTTCCCTTAAAGATGGCCAGTAGGTCACTGTCCATCCCCTTACAGAGTGAATGGTCCCCTTATTTCCATGCCTCATGCTTTTTTAATTAAACCTATGATGTTTACCTTAGAAATGAGCTAATGTTTTTTCATGAAAGCCCACATAATCAAAGAAGATTATCTTAGAGGACGGGGTATAGGGGAAAAACTATTCAAAATTTGGACCATTGAATATTTATCTCTGTAGGTATTCCTGCATTCATTTTATTCCTTTTAAGTCTCCAATGTGTTCCTGCCACCATGCCAGGCATGAAGATATGGTGTTGAACAAGACAGACTTTGCCCTCACGAATCTTAAATTCTCTGTAGCAAAACAGGTAAGCAAAGAAACATGAGATAGTTACGAAGTGTGGTCAGTGTAATGAAGGTAATAACTGTGCAGTGACGGGGTGATTGACATGGCTGTTCTGAGAAGATGACTTAAGAGCTAAAGTCAAATAATAAGATAGAGTCTCCATTCTCAAACAGTCAGTCCTGCTTTTCCCTCTAATAGATAACTTCATTTTTAAGGGATTGTGACATCTGAAAACTTGAGTAGATTTAGTAGTCCATACTATAGAATGTCTACGAGTAAAGAAGACATTTAAAGTAAGCCACGAGAAATTAGGTTATAGTCTTTGAAGGTTTTTATCTAAAAATAATTATTTTACCATTAAAAAAACAGTTATTTAACATTTCCATCATTGCAGAAAGTTGTATTGAGCAGCAGTGTTCTAGAATTTGATGTAAACGGAATTGTATGATACGTATTTTGTGTCAAATCTTTTCACTAAGAATTCACATAACGTAAAATTCATTTTAAAATTTATATTTTAGTAGTTTTTAATATATTCACGATGTTGCCTTGGCTGGTGTGGCCTAGTAGATTGAGTGCTGGCCTGCAAACCAAAGGGTTGCTGGTTCGATTATCAGTCAGGGCACATGCCTAGGTTCTGGGTCACATGGCCAGTAGGCAGCACACAAGAGGCAACCACACATTGATGTTTCTCTTTTTTCCCTTCTCTAAAAATAAATAAATAAAATCTTTAAAAAAATAAATATATATATTTTTCCCACAGTGTTGTGCAACCATTACAACTAATTTCCACCACCCTAAAGAGAAACCTACTACCTGTTAGTAGTCATTCCCAATGTGTCTAGCTACTTTTACACAGCATAGTATTTTTATGATTCATCGATGTTGCTTGTTTCAGTAATTCATTTCTTTTTATTGTGGAGTGTGTTCCATGATGACTATATCACTATTTGCTTATCCATTCACCAGCTGATGGACATTGAATTGTTTGCAGTTTCTGCTCATTTTAAGTAAAGCTGCTATGGACATTTTCATTTCTCTTGGTTAAAAACCTGAAAGTGAAGTTGCAATTCACATGATAAGCATATGTTTAACTTTTAAGAAACTGCCAAACAGCTAAAATGATTATAGTGTTATGGGACATCCCTTTCAGCAGGGTATGAGATTTCTAGTTACTCAATGTCCTCTTCAAAATTTGGTACTGACAATCTTTTTAAATGTTACCCATTATAATACGTATGTAGTGGTATCTCCTGTGGCTTTATTTTGTTTCCTACTAACTAATCATGCTAAGTATCTTTTCATGTGTTTATCAGCAATTTATATATGAATCTACTTTTATGAAGTGTCTGTTCAAATCCTTGCCCATTTTTTAATTGGATTGTTGGACTCTCTAAGTTTGAGTTTTTATTTAAGAAATCTGACTACCTCACAATCAGAAAGCTTTTCTCCTATGTATTGTTTTAGAAGTTTTATGGTTTTAGGTTCAACATTCAGGTCTGACTTTCTAGTTAATTTTTGTGTATGGTGTGAGCTAAGCAGGTCAAGTCTCCACTTTCAGTCTCCAGTGTATATGTTTGGATCTACATCTGGCCTCTTTCCATGTTCCCATGAGGCCTTTGTCTGTGCTGGCCATAGTACCACACTGCCTTCATTACTGTAGCTGTATAGCAAATCTTGATATCAGCTATCATAAGTCCCCTGATTTTGTTCTTTGTCAAAATGGTTTTGACTGTTCTAGGTTCTTTGCATTTCTATATGCATTTTAAAATCAGCTTTTTTTTCTGTAGAACAATTTCTATAAATTGATGGAATTCTAAATGGGATTTGATTATGATTTTTAAATCAATGTGAGGACCATTTTTACTTTAGCAATATTGGCTTTCCCAGTACATGTACATGGTATGTCTTTCCCATTAAAGAATTTGGTAAAGGTCATACACATACTTCGTTAAGTTGATTCTTGAGTATTTCATGTTTTTGATGCAGTTGTACATGGTATTGTTAAATTTTAATTTCCAATTATATAAACATACAGCAGTTTTTTGTGTTGACCTTGTTCAGGTTTTACTCCCTATTATTTTCTGTAATTCTAAAATTGTTCTGTCCAATATGGTAGACTCTAGCTCTGTGGCTGTAGAACACTTGTAATGTGATTAGTCTTCATTGAAAAGGGCTATAAATGTAAAATGTGCACTGAAGAAAAGATTGTGAAATATTTCATTAGTAACTTTAAATTGATTACTTGTTGAAATGATACTGTTTTGGATCTATTGGGTTAAATAAGCTATATTAAAATCATTTTGACTTGTTTCTTTACTAATGTGGAAACTAGAAAATAAAATTACATATTTGGTTCATATTTGTGGCTTACATTATATTTCTGGACAGCACTATTCTAAAACATTGCTAGCTTTAAAAACTTACCCTGTCCCTGGCTGGTGTAGCTCAGTGGATTGAGTGCAAGCCTGTGAACCAAAGGATCGCAGTTCGATTCCCAGTCAGGTCACATGCCTGGGTTGCAGGCCAGTTCCTGGCAGGGGACACACGAGGACAACCATACATTGATATTTCTCTTCCTCTCTCATTTCCTTCCCCTCTAAAGATAAATATATAAAATCTAAAAAAACTTACCTTGGCCAGATAGTTCAGTTGGTTGGAGCATTGTCCTGATATGCCAATGTTGGGGGTTCAATCCCTGGTCAGGGCACATGTAAGAATAAACCAGAGAATGCGTAAATAAGTGGAACAACAAAATAGTGGGGTTTTTTTTTCTCTCTCTCCCCCTTTCTCTCCCTAGAATCAATCAATTAAAAAAATTTAAATAAAAATTTTATTTATTTGTAGATGAAGAAAAAACTCCAGAAGAAATCATTCCAGAAAAGCAAATTGAAACGTATGTCATATTTTAGATTTGATTTCTAGCTTTTACTAAAAATTTCATAATGCTATCTAATAACATTGTCTTTCTTTTTTTCCCCCTTTACTTCCCAAGTAATTTGTCATGCATGTATTGAGAACTTGTTGATATGGGATATAGACTTACATGTATATACATGAGCGATCCTATTAGCACTTTTCTCATTGTCCCTTAACAAGATGTTTATCAGAATGTCTCTGAAGGCATCAGTTTGCTGAATCTGTAACTGCATTGGTGTGGTGAGCCTATAAAATACTTTTATTTAGATAGAGGCATTTTTCTTTTTTCAAAAGTTTGCTTTATACATTTATTCCAATAGTGACTTCTCCTGATATTCCTGAAATTCTTTTATTCATGCTTCTTTGATAGTAAAATTGAAGACCTGGAAAATGAAATTGAAGAGGCGAAAATGGCTTTTGAAATGAAAAAGTTTGCATTACACAGGTAATTAGTACATTTTATTAATAAGCAGTGTCAGTGGAATGCAAAGTGGGCATGGCTGGAGGTGGAAAAAATATTTTAGTCTAAATGAATTAAGGAAAGTGGTCATACAAATTTTGAACCCTGAGAGAAAAGTTACATCATTCACTTAAAGAAGTTACATGATACAGGGTTAATAAGGAAATGTCAGTCAAAACAATAGAAATGTGAAGTTAAATCTCATTCATCAATTGAAAGGATTGTGTGGATTTGTTTATTCCAGTAACTGTTAATTGTGTAAAAGAATTGTCATCAAGTTTAAAGTATATTTTAAATTAGGTTTTGCATCTGTAGTTTAAAATTTATTCAACAAATATTTGAGTGCTTGCTATGTCCTAAGCTTTGTGCTAGGTGTTGGTATACAGTTGTTAATAAGATAAACATGGTCTCTTATTGACTTTGAGACCTGAATTAATTATATCTCAATTAGGTTAATAAGTTTTAAAAATTACTTCCTTGTATTCCTGGCCTTCCTAGATGAATTTCTTCATACATTTAATTGAAAAGTAGTTAAAGCGTTCTTCACTGTCTTGTTTTTTGTTTGTTTGTTTGTTTAAGATTTTATTTATTTTTAAAAAGGGAGAAGGGAGGAAAAAGAAGAGGGAGAGAAACATCAATGTGATAGACAAACATCGATTGATTGCCTCTTGTAGTCACCCCAACTAGGCCACTGAACTGGTAACCCAGGCTTGTTATGGGTAACTGGTAATCCCTGACTGGGAACCGAACTGGTCACTTTTTGCTTTGCAGAATGATGTCCACCCAACCAACTAAGACACATTGGTCAGAGCTAAAGTGCTTTTAATTGCTTCTAACAGTGAGCTTTCCCCCTCATCTCATATGCTGGCTCATTATATAGATCACATTTTTTAACTAAGGTGACTTCAGAGGCATTAAGATACCTCCTTTTAATAAATATCCTGTATCTAACAAAAAGGAAGAGCTCTAATATTGCTGAGTTGATTGGCTTTTTTTTTACACTGTTAATAATGAAGCTCCTACACCAAAGACATCATATTCAAGGGCAGGAAAGGGCTGCAAAGTGTTTAGTTTATGCCTTTTTTGACACCACATTGACTTTTTATTATTACTTATTTATTAGCTATTTGAATTTAAGTGATTTATGGAGCTTGTTTGTATGTAGGCATATTTCAAAGTTTACAGTTAAGTGTGAATTTGTATTCCTTAACTCTTTCCATTTCAGGCCCTCTAGATCTCTGTAGTGCCTGCATGTATGTTGCTTCCCCAGGCACCAAGGTGGATGGCTTGGAAAGCAAAGCTCCGGCTGGATTTCAGGCTGGCAATGCACAAGCACATGCATTGCCAGCGCCATCCATCTTTGTTAGTTCGTATTTCTGTGACTTATCAAATATTTTCCATACAATACTGCTTTAAAACCTACTTATGTTTTATGTTATATTTAAACAGAAATCAGCCTTTAACTTATCATATTTTTTAATTTTCTTTTCAGTGTACCATAAATGCGATCCATGTTTTTATAATGCCACCCTTTTTCCTCTCATAGGATGCAGCTTTCGACGGTCCTTAGAAAACACCTGGAAGAAAGTAAATTTCAGAATAGGTACTTTTTTCTTTCTGGATTTGGTTAAGGATGGGAATTAGAAGGGGGATCTGCATAATGACTTTAGTTTCTTGATTTTTTTTAAAAAGTAACTGTCACTGCCAACCACTTTAATCTGAGGAATAAGAAAAGTGATGGAAGTTTTGTGGCCCTTGCTCAGTATTACAACAATTTTTATAGTCCCACTGACATCTTGTTTATATTCCAACACTAAGAAGCAATTTAGGTTTTAACCAGATAGTCTGAAAATTTGGAGGAAGGTTTGAAAGTTAATTTTGTGCATTACTCACTGAAAGCCAGGAATAGTCGCTATTTTATTTAATCAACAACAATCCAATGATTGAAAGTAAACTATTTTTCATTAGCAGAAATGAGCTTGTACACATTAAACAGTTTGTCAAGGAATATAAAATAAAAATATCATATGATCTCACCTTTAACAGGAAGCTAAACAACAAAACAAACAGGCAAGCAAAATAAAAACAAAGACACTGAAATAGAGAAGAGGAGGACAGTGACCAGAGGGGAGAGGGGAAGGAATTTAAGGGGAGAAAGGGGAGGGATTTAGAGGAACAAATATAAAGGACACAGGGACAATAACTAAGGGGGGTGGAAATGGGAGGGAGGTGGGGAGCATGGGGCGGGGTGGGCTGGGATGGGAGAAATAGACAGAAAACTGTACTTGAAAAATAATTTTTAAAAAAAAAGACTCTGGCAGTCAGGGTTCTAAATGCCTGGCCTCAGGAGCCTTACCTGTGATTTTATCTTCCAAGGCTCTAAAAATCTTGTTATATAAAAATATTCTCCCGTAAGCAGTAGAAAAAGCCTAAGATAGAGTTGGTCACTTCTCCTATCTTGGTGGTTCAGACTTATACACATGCACCCCGTATTCCATATTGATCCAGTGTTACATAAACCCTAAAGTCTGAATTTGAACTAACTCTTGCTCCTCCATAAAATGAGAGCTTAAAACATTCTTGAGTTAAAGTTGTATAGGACAGATTCATCATAAACTTTACAACCAAGTACAGTGTAACCAGTAGAAAATGAGTTCAGTTCTTCCATGTCTGTGGAGTTCAGTTCTTCCATGTCTGTGTAGATTCCTCCTTTTCAGCCTCTCCACTACATTCCTTCCACAGTATCAGAATAATTGGTATTATCACAGTGACCACATTGCTGGTCCCATTCCACGCCTACTGACTCTGAATCTAAAAACCAAGGTGTGGGGATGGAAGGTGGTGGAGTGGGCAGCTGTCAACCCCCATTGAACAGCCCTCCCAAGGGTCTGTGGCACTTTGAAATACGAGAACTGTTTTCACCAAGTCCTATTTCACACCCTTTGGCTCCAGCCATTCCAAACTACTTGACTTAGATAATCACTTCATGTCCTTTAAGATTCCAGGGTGTCCTTTGCCCCGTTCTGCACAACTCTTGTAGTGATCCATATTCATTACTGGTTGTAATAAAACCATACTATGGTTGTGGATTTATTTTTCTCCCGCACCAGGTTCTTTCCTCTCTGAAAACAGGTACTATGCCTGGCACAGTTCTTGGTATGTAGTAGGCACTTAGAAATATTTGTTGAAGAAATGGAGATGAAAAGCAGCTTATTCAGTGAAACTATTCTGTTTGTTACTGTGGTAGTAGATTCATGTCGTTATACAGTTGTCAAACCCATAGCTTGTACAACAAGGGTGGATTCTAATGTAAATAGTGGGCTTTGGGTGATTATATTGTGTCAGATAAACATTTATCATTTGTAACAGACGGACCTGTGTGGCGGATGTTAACAGTAGGGGAGGCTGTGCACGTGTAGGGGCAGAGGGTACAGCGACTTACATTCTGCTCAGTTTTACTATAAACCTAAAATTGCTTTAAAAAAAAAGTATTTTTTAAAAGCAACTTATTAGCAAATTGTTAGTTTTTTCTTCCTAAATATGAGAGTTTTAGAAATGTTCCTACATGCTTGGATTTTATATTTTTTGTTGTCCATGATGAAGAATTTTTCTAGGGAAATGCATCTCTACTTTTAAACAGAAATTTAGTTTACATCAAACTTTTCTAGATTTATTGTTAGATAATGATTTTCTATTAAGTGTACAGTTAATTTAATGAAAGTATGTAATACTAATTGATTTCTTCATTAATGAAACATTGCTTTTAACTAAGGTTGATGTCATTTTTTATTTCTTTTCAGTGAGCTCACGGAAAACATGAAACACATATTAAAGCTAAATAAAATAATAATGACATCACAGCAGGTAACTTTGCACATTAGGTTGCTTATGCATTCTCAATGATTTCAGTAACACTTTCTTGCTGGTAACTACATTATATATGATTAAATAGGATTGCCCAAAGGGACTGGTATGGTCCGAACTAGTGTCCTTAAGTTTTCTCTCTCTCTCTTTTTTTAAATCTTCACCCAAGGGTATATTTACCGATTTTGGAGAGAAACATCAGTCAGTTGCCTCCTCCTGCATGCACCCTGGGGTCGAACCCATAACCTAGGTGTGTGCCCTGACCAGGGATCAAACCCACAACCTTTTGTTGTATGGGATGATGCTCCAGCCAGTTGAGCCACCTGGCCAGGGCTTTTCTCTCTCTTTTTCATAACTCAATTATTTTTCATTAATGTTGCTAAATGTCTACTTATAACTTATGCTGCTTTCTCCTCTCGTTGTGTAGAAATGAAGTAATTAAAAACTGGAGGTTTAGAAAACATAAACTAAGATAAAATTCAGTGATTTAAGTATTAGGTAATGTGCCTTAATCTTAGGTAAGGTGCCTTAATCTTTTTATTTCTAATAACAGGAATCTTGGGATCTGGAAGGAAAACTGCTTAATGTTAAAAAGAAGAGATTTGGTACGTAGAACAGTTCTTGGGGGGGTTTTGTATAACATTTTCACTTCATATGGCGATTGATAGGGCCACATCTTTCAGCTACTAAGAAATTTCTTAATTTTCAAATTTTCTTAAAATTTTAGGTATGGCAACTTAAAAAGTAGTATATAAAATGTATTTTGCTTGATATACTTATATTGTTTTAGAACATTAAATCATGAAATGAGTACATTCTCAGTGAGGGGAAATCAAATGATACAGAAAAGTGTGATGTGAAAGTCATGCCTCCTTCCTGTGTGACCACAGTTAGATGTATTTATATATGCATAATTTTTATGTGGTCAGTTAATACATGGAGTTCTACAGCCTTTTAACTTAATGAACATGAGATGGCTTTTTGCATTGAAATTATTGAAATATTTATTCCAAAAGTAGTACACATTCTCTGTAGAAAATTCAGAAACAGTAAAGTATATGTAGGAAAAGTTAAATTTTTTATTTTACCATCAAGACATAATCAGTCTTCAATGCCTATTTTTTATATGAAATTGGAATCCCTTTATTCTGTGCTGTAAACTGCTTTTTTCATTTAACAGCATGGTTTATTATTTTTAAATATGTAGATTAGCCTTACTGTAAGTAATATAAGGGTCAGAAATAATCTTGATCATCTGATCTAATTATCCTTTGAATATATAATATTTTTTCACTGCATTCTAATCTACCTTTGATACATTAATGTCAAGGAACCAAGCTCCTAAGACATACCCATTTATGTTTTCAAATAGTTTAATTCTTAGAACATCTCAGGAACTACAATAAATGGTTGATGTTTATATCTTGAGAAGGGAACCTTTTCATTGAAAATTCATTTGGTGATATGTCATTTTATAAATAAAAGAGGGAAAATGGTTTGCTAACACATAATTCCTACCTATTTTGGTACCCATAGTAAGTCTTCTTTGATACTATGTCTCTTCAAACATCTGTGAACAGTTATCATTATCATATATACAAACCTTGAACATTTGCATTGCTAGGTATAAATTTCAAATATTGGTATTTTGCATCAGGGAAGTCATATTTAGATCAAAATAGAACTACAACCTAAAATACTCCTTATTAAAAATTTTCTCTTGCCCTGATTGGTGTGGCTTAGTGTGTTGGGCGTCATCCTGCAAACCAAAAGGTTGCAGGTTCAATTCCCAGTTAGGGTATATGGCTGGGTTGAGGGCCAGATCCCAGGTTGGGGACATGCAAGAGACAACTGATTTTGATGTTTCTCTTCCTTTCTTTCTCCCTCCCTTCCCCTCTCTCTAAAAATAAATAAATAAAATCTTTTAAAATATTTTCTCTTGACTGAAATAACTATAAATTTTTAGGATTCTTGTTTGCAGGAATTGCTATATATATAGTACATTGTTTTATTTTTAACCTCATAGAATTAAAACGAGCTTCAGAACAAAAGTTTTTAGAAATACAGACTGAAAAGAACAAACAGAAAGATAATTTGGACAGTATGGAAAATTCAGACAAGATAAAGACCTTAAAGCAAAGGCTACAGATGGAGATACAAATTACTACGGTTATTCAACATGTGTTCCAGGTAACATGTATATAAATAAGGAAGGGAGGTAAAAAAAGACTTTTTTTGTTAATAAAAATGGTTGATTTTATTACTTTTAGAACTACAGTTAGTCTTTGATCTTGGCAAAATAACTCAATCCTGAAAATTGGTCTGTTTACATATATCTGGAATTCATATATAAATACTTATGGCTTTGATTTTGCATTATGGCATTTATAAATGGAATGATTTTTAGAAGCCCTGTGGAGGCAGAATGATAAAATGGTGGAGAGCATTAGATTCCAAGTTGGGAGTTTGGGGAGAACTTGGAGAGGAGTGATGGGAATCTAGAGTTAAGATCCTGACTGCTACTTAATAGTGGCTGACCTTGAGCAAATCATTAACTTTCCTAAGTGTCCATGTCCTTGTTCAGAAAGAGTGGTGTGAAAACTAAAGAGAATATAATTTGTGCCAGTCTCCTTAGCATAGTGTCTGGTGCCAGTAAATTCTCAATAAATGTTGGTAGTTACAATCCTGTCAAATTTTAAACTTCAAGTATCCATTTCTTTATTCCGTTTTTTTTTTTTAAGTACTTTTTGAATTATAAAATGTCTCTGGAACTGTTGAAATACTTAAATTGCCAATTTTGAATTATGAAGATGCACAGTTAAAACTGTCTATTACGTGTAAAGCAAATGCTTATTATTTGTAAAGCACATCCTTATAGAATATGAGGCCTTATGTGTCACCATAAGAAATTCTTCCCCAGGTCTTACACCTACTTTTTAGTAACAGTGGGTTTTTCAGTTAGAAGTAATCAAATCCCCTAAGCTAACCTTAAGAGGAGAATTGCATCATAAGTAAAGAATCATTTTCATTTTCTTTAGCACATGTTCCTGTCTACTACTTTTAGACTTCTGTTAGTCTGCATTTCTTTTTTTGTTTGTTTGTTTCTTTTCATTTTTTTATTATAAGAGTTTATTTAGAAAGTCACAGAAGTAGAAAAGGTGAGCCAACTGGGCTGTATGGGCCCAGGAAATAAGTTACAGAGGCAAAAGAAGGGCTGAAGCTTAGGAGAGAAAAGGCAAAGGTAATATGCCTGGTGGGCAGGAGAGGAGGGGGAGGGACAGGCGCTAGGAATGCTCCAGAGCCAGGGCTGCTGGGGAAATAAGGGGGCAAAAAGCGTTATTCTGCATTTCCTAATTTTTATTTACATTTTCTAAATTAGTGTTAATTTTGAGTTAATGAACTCGTTGCTTTGTTAAACAGATTATAGGTTCGTCCAAGTTGGGAGCTCTCTTTCTTCCTAATGGAATGAGTTTTCAGTTCAGTCATGTTTGAATGCTTACTTTCATCTGCCTTTACAAATTTGACTGAATTTGTATACACTAGCCCTTTTATTAACTTATATAGCAAGAACATGCCTTAGATAGGCCAAAGTTTTACATTTTATGTGTAATAATGTACCATTATACTCTAAATGGATTTTAACAATATTTCAATTAGTAACTCAGTATCGAGCTATATAGTTTTTCAGTGCATAATGACCAGAAATTTCATTAATTATGACCCTAATTATTCTTCCATTGTCTACCACAAAACTGCACTTTATCTTTTTTCAGGGTCTTGAAACTTGGCAAGAGCTGAGAACTAAGCTCTTCTTTTATTTACCTCTTTTTAAAAATAGGACGTATTAGGCTCAAACTGCTGTTCACCATAGAAGTATAAAGTAAACTCTGAGCCAGCTGCAATCTTTTCCCTTTAATCCGGGATGCCACTGCAAGCATCCTTAATGAGAAAAACTGCCCACAAACACTGATGCAGCATAAAAAATTGTTAGCATTATTAATCTTTCCTAGCAGCATGGGGATCAAGCCTGAAGCCTCACCGAAAGTAGAAATGAGCACATAATAATGTATCATTGTGTTTTTCTCATGATCACAGATTAAATGTTCACACTTCATTTGATAATTATTTGATCAGATCAGTGAAATAGGATGTTTTGAAAGCTTGTTAAATTTGAAAGTACTTACAACTTTAATTTGAAAAAAATTTTTTTGTGTGTGTTACAGAACCTCATTTTGGGGAGTAAAGTCAATTGGGCAGAGGATTCTGCTCTTAAGGAAATTGTTCTGCAGCTTGAGAAGAATCTCACCATGATCTAATAAAAATTCTATGTTTGCATTATTTGTTTTTATCTGTGATACATCATTTAAATAGCAAATTTTAGGTGCAATATATTTTTTAGTATTTTTAGAACTATTCTTATACTGCAGGTTTTTTTACCTTAACACTCTAACATGGAATCTATTGTTTTAAATATGATAATTAAAGTGATTGGCATACTCCAAAAGAACCTGAAAATCTTGGCCTTATACAAGGGAGTTCGGAAAGACTTCATCTAGTCAGCTTTCCATTCAATGTGGACATTTTTTCTACAACGTTCCTGGAAGTCCCAACTCATTTGTAATACATCTGTGCATTTCTTTGTCAACCAAAATACCAGAAAAATTAGAAAAACATATTCACATCTTTATTTTTTAACAGTCAGTTGCATTTTATTCAAATCTTATTTTCAATTCATCTCATGACAATAACTTGATTATTTATTTTTAGATAGAGGGGAATGGATGGAGAGAGAGAGGGAGAGAAACATCAATATGTGGTTGCCCCTTGCACACCCCCGACTGGGGACCTGGCCCACAACCAAGCCATGTCCCCTGACTGGGAATCGAACTGTCAACCCTGTGATCTCAGGCTGGCACTCAATCTAGTGAGCCATACCAGCCAAAGCTACAGATTCTTTTTCTTTATTGAGATATAATTGACCTGTAATGTTGTATAAGTTTAAGATATACAGCATGTTGAATTGACCACTGTGGCATTAGCTAACGTCTCTATTATGTCATAATTACTTCTTTTTATGGTGAAAACATTTAAGGTCTAGTCTCTTAGCAACTTTGAAGCATATAATACAGTATCATTAACTATAATCACAATTCTGTGTGTGAAATCTCTAAAACTTAATCTTTTTTTTTAAGTTTTTTAAAATTTATTTTTAAAGAGAGGGAGAAAAACATCAATTGTAGTTGCCTTTTACATGCCCCCTTCTGGGGACCTGGCCCACAATCCATGCATGTGCCCGAGACTGGGAATCGAACTGGCAACCCTTTGGTTCACAGGCCAGCTCTCAGTCCACTAACCACACCAGCCGGGACTAATTATCTAAGTTTGCACCCTTTCACCAACATCTCAGTTCCCCCAACTCACACCCACATCTTTAATCAGAGACCCAAATAAAGCACCTTAGCCTTGAAAAAGAAAAAGACACCCAAAGGGTTAACAGTTGGGTTATTGTGAAGGAATTGTGACTTTTTTTCTTTTGTATGTCTGTATCATGTATCACTTTTATAAGTTAAAAAATAAATGTTGCTCTTCTAATCAAAAAATAGAACTTGCTACTTTTTATACATCCCATCCCATCTTTTAAAAGCTCTAATGAGCTTTTTATTAATTTGGAGCCATTGTTCATTTTTATAGATACTGTGTTTTCAGCACTCTTTATGACTTTAAACAACTTGCAAAGTTGTTTATTACCACTGCAGTTGGTAACAGCATTTCAAATATTCTCTTTAGATCAATAATAAAAATACCACCAACACTTGCCTAAATTTGTATGCTAAACATTTTCTTCAGAAGATATAATTTTCATTTGTTTTGATAAATCACAATTCATTTATGATTTTTTTTTGCCACAGTGAATTCTTGGAAATTCTCTACATAAATTGTAAAACTAGTCATATTTTTCTTTCAGAAAATCATTCTGTAAAATGCCTTTCTGATCACAGCACTAAGTAAATAACAGATGCACACTATTTTAGTGAATCCCAAATCAACAGGTTATCAGTATCGTCTGAAAAACTTTTTGCATTTTCCTGGGACCCTATTATCCTGTGTGTTCCCTCTTAAAGTCTAACTCTGACAAATTGTGTTAGCTTTGTCTGAAATCCTGCTGGATAACAGCAGGAAATCTCAGTGGCTTATAACAGTTATATCTGTCTTTTATTCATGGTTTGGCTGGTCATTCTAGGACTTAGGCTTGAAAGGGGCAGCCACTATCTGAAACATGTCATGACTTATGGGGAGGCCAAGTCAAATTACATACACAAGCACATTTAAAGTTTGTGTTTGGAAGAAATGTACATTATTTCCACCCAGGTTTCATCGACCAGTCTAACATCTGTGGGTCAGGAAAGTATAATTCTTCCACAGCAGGGGCATTCTGGGTTCCAGAGTGGTGGACAGAAAATGGATATTGGTTGAAAAGACTAGTTTCCCAGTCTGCATCTTGATCTTAAATACTAACCTCTCTTCTGTGTATAAAAGACTCACCACTTCCCGAAGAAGATAACAATAGCATGCAAGAAGTTTCAAAGTTCAGAATCTCAATACTCCACATCAGATCTAGATCTGGCTCTTGATCTGGAGACCTAGGAACTGAGAAGACAAGTTATATTGCTGCAGACAATAGTGGACAAGGTCTGTAGCAATTCTGAAATACAACTTGGTAACTGATAGGAAGTGCCCCTTCCTGGGACTAGGAAACACTTTGGCTTTGGCTCTTGTGCCATCTGAAAGCAGTTCGTCCATGGTTCTTTGTTCTGCCCTTTGGGAGGTTCTCCCCTACCATTACCTTGGTCATATCCAAAGAGGGTATTAGAGAATATGCACTTCTGAGCAGCTTTCTCACTTGGGGACCCAAAGATATTTTGTATCTCAATTTTAAAATTCAAGCTAGGGAGATGGGTATAAGTGTTGGGAACTGCCCTGCCTGGTTTCAGAAGCTATAACCCTCTCCATGGCTAAGGCTGAGTGAACAACCTTCAAACCATTGGCCACTAAGGAGACAAAGCTTATCTTCCTGGCAGGGGTGCTGCCTCTGCTCCTTTTACTTCACCCTGCCTGGCCCCAATACTAGATCAGTTAGCCAATAAAGGATAGGATTCCTCAAGGGGGGCATGACCTAAGACAGGCACAATCATGGGGAACCCCAGGAAAGGACTTGGCTACAGAAAAGGGGTGATGGGCCCTCGCCCCTTGGCTTTGATATTAGCCTGAGTTCTCATTCTGTCTGCAAGAAGTCTCCTAATCTCTTGGCTGCCTTCCCTTCCCTGCCTAACTTAAGCCTGAAACAATGCTGGAGGTGGGTGCATCCCTGCTGGAAAGGGTGGGTTCCCTATGGCAATCAGGCCTAAGAAAGAATATGTAAAATCCTGTGAAACCTGCTTTGTTTAGAATGCTCTCAATTAAATGATAAGGATCCAAGTAGGAAGTGAGTTTGTTCCTCAAAATATTACGGGGGGCCCTTACCTTTCTGACTGGGACTCAAAATAGGTCCTTAGAGTTTTCTGTATGTTATCTATTGTTTGATCCTTAACTGCCTAGTAAGGATAATGATTAATGAACTTTACCTATATCCATAAAAGCCTGCCAAGGCAAGGGTCCTGGCACTTTCCTCTTGAGAGGGGGGCCGAGGTGGTCCGATGCTTGCTCTCGCCTTGAGAGAGAAGTCATGCCATCCCTTTTCCTCCACAAGACTTGGTAGTCCATGTGAATTTATTTCATTTCATCCATAACACCGTGGATACTGTGGGCCAGTGTCTGTGTCATATAAGAGGACCAAATGGTAATGGAAAAATAAAGATTGTATATATTTTTTAGAATTCAAGCTAATCGTGCTTTTGTAAATAAATTTTTCTCAAAAGTGGTGGTGGTCGTGATGATGGTTGCTTTGGTTGCTCATTGCATCAACATCAAAGGCAGCAAACTATGGCTTACCAGCTTCCTGTTTTTACAAATAAAATTTTATTGGAACAAAGCCACACCTGTACATTTACATAGTAACTACGGCTGCTTTCCCTTCATAATAGCATAGTTGAGTTGAACTGAAGAGCTCTAACAGAGATGAGAAAGCCCCTCTACCCCATTTTTCTTACAGTTACTGGCTTGAAGAAATATTTGTCCTTGTAGGAAGTTCTCTATTCTGATGTGTCTACAAGTTTATGTACCTTGTTCCACCTCTGGATTCCTGTAAACAAAAAGTTAGATCTAACTGCTTTTTTGTTTGTTTTAGATTTTATTTATTCATTTGGGGCAGGAGGAGGAAGAGAGAAATACAGGGAGAGAAACATCACTTCATTGCCTCTTGAACACACTCCAACCCGGGACCAGGCCAACAACCAAGGCTTGTCCCCTGACCGGGAGTTGGACTAGTGACCCTTTGCTTTGCAGGACAACACTCAACCAACTGAGCCCCATCAGTCAGACTACCTTTTTTTTTAATTGTTCCTGTTACAGTTGACGGATATGTTTTATAAAATGTAGTTTCATAGTTTTCATTAAAAACATTTACAAGTTGTACTCAGTACCTTATATTGTATCACATCAGGAGTCTGTGATGCATGCTGAGTACCACCTAACAGCTCTACAGCGAATGTCAGCAACAGGGTACACAGAACAAGAAAGTAGTCAAAGGCTAGGTAAGATAGGGACTTTGAGAAGACACATACAAGAGGTAGAATCAGATGGTGTGCTCAGGTGCATGAAAATAGCCAAGTAGCCCTGACTAGTGTGGCTCAGTGGATTGAGCACCAGCCTGCAAACCACAAGGCTGTGGGTTCTGATCCTTGTCAGGGTACATGCCTAGGTTGCAGGCCGAGTTCCCATTCTGGGGACGAACAGGAAGCAACCAATTGACGTTTCTCTCCTCTTTTACCCTCCCTTCTCCCCTCTCTGAAAATAAATAAATACAAATCTTTATTAAGAAAATTTAAAAAAAAGAAAATAGCTAAATAACAGCCTTGAGAATATACATAAAAATTGGGACGCCAGTGGGGTGAATAATCAAATGATCTGATGACAGTCAGGCTAATTGAAACTGAGCAACAGGAAGATAAGGTAGAATTTAGGTACTGGCTCAGCTTCAGCTATCTTTTTTAAAAGTTTTTTTCTTTAATTTATTGATTTCAGAGAGAGAGAAACATCACTTTTCTGTTCCACTCATTCATGCATTCATTGGTTGCTTCTTTGATGTGTCCTGATAGGAGATTGAACCCATCACCTTGGTGTATCAGGACAGTGCTTTAACCAACAGCTACCTGGCCAGGGCAGCTTCAGTTACTTTTATCATCTTCATCCTAGGGGAAAATAATCTAAAAGTGGCCTGGATGAGAATTCTGTGAAGGAGTATGAATGCCAACCCTTAGAAATAAACCTTCAGTTAGAGAAAATTCAGAGCATTTTTCTGGCAGACTCCCCAAAACAAAATCTTACCAATATGACCAGAAATCTGCATTGCATTTGGCATTTTCTGAATTTATCAAGTAATACCAGGAGATGTCTGGTTATTAGAGGACTTGGAAAGTATATTTCTTAATAAAAGTTCTAAATCATGGTCCTCTGCCCATTTTCTTCATCTCTTTCTCAGATATAGTCATAAAGAAAACTGGAAAATATTTTATTTTAAAAATAGCCAAGAAAGTCGGTTATTTAAATGATTCAGAATAAGAAGTTAATATTGTAGATGTTTGTATAGAAACTTGCTGTTTCTCTGTATATAAATGAAAACCTGTGTACTAAGAATCCAAGCTGCTGTTGCTTTTGAGCTTTCCCCACCAGGATTACTGAGGTCACTGACAAAATTATAAGTTATTTAAACTGTAGAATGTGATGGCTTGATATGCCTATACATATGCCCTTTTAAAAATATCTTTTGGGGAGGGGAGGTAGAGGTGGAATAGGGCATAGGGGTGATAAATGATAATGAAAAAATACAATGAAGATGAGTTATTTAAAAAATTAAAATGTCTTTTGCACATCTAATCACTTTATCAATCTGATTTTAGAATATGTGCTTCTAAAACAGCTTTGACAGCTTTTTAAAAAATAGATTTCTGGCCCTGGCTTATGTGGCTCAGTGGATTGAGTGCTGACCTGGGAACCAAAGGGTCACTGGTTCCTGGGCAGGGCACATGCTTGGGTTGCAGTGCAAGTCAAACCCCCATTAGGGGGCACATGAGAGGCAACCACACATTGATGTTTCTCTCTCTTTCTCCTTCCCTTCCCCTCTCTCTAAAAATAAGTAAATAAAGTTTTGAAATATATAGATTTCTGGTCGCCTCCACAGACATATTGAATCAGAAGGGCCCACATTTGGGCTCCATAACTCACTTTTTTTTTCTTTGTTTTTAATTTTTTATTGATTTTACAGAGAAAGAGAAGGGGGGTGAGAGAGAGAGAAACATCGATTTGTTGTTACATTTTTATGCATCAATTGATTGTTTCTTGTCTGTGCCTTGACTGGAGATAGAACTGCAACATTGGGATGATGCTCTAACCAACTGACACCAGGCCAGGGCAACTTACATTTCTAAAAAGCTATAAATCACCTAGATCAGCAAAACAAATTTGTTATTTTAAATGGTTACAATGGCTTAAGGCTACATTACCCACAAAGTTATGTTGAATAACATGTTATGGGACTTCTGGCCAAGATGGAGGCGTAGGTGGAAACATTGTGCCTCCTCGCACAACCAAGTTTAAAGACAACAAAGTTTTAGTAACAAAAACGCAACCAAAACAGAAAATTGAACTGTATGGAAGTCTAACAACAATGAACCATTCAGCCAGACCGGAAGCAGCAGAGGGGACAGAAATCCAAGAGGGAGCATGGAAGGAGAGCCATTGCCCCTCTCTGACCCCGCCCCCCATGCAGCATCACAACCCAGCAACTGGGTCACCCCGCCCTGGTGAACACCTAAGACTCCGCCCCTCATACACAACAGGCTTGAATAGACCAAAACATTATGGCTCAAGAAGAACAAGCCATGGCTGGTGTAGCTCAGTGGATTGAGCACGGGCCTGCCAACCACACAATCGCGGTTCGATTCCCAGTCAGGGCACATGCCTGGGTTGCAGGCCAGTTCCCAGCAGGGGACTCATGAGAGGCAACCATACATTGATGTTTCTCTCCTTCTCTTCCTAAAAAAAAAAAAAAACAGAGCCCAGAGCCCATAACTCTAAGCGACCAAGCTAAACAAGCTAAACTAATTGTCAAAGCCCCAGAGCCCACCAGAGCCCATAACTCTAAGCAACCAAGCTAAACTAATTGAAATGAAGGGAAATGCACAGGAAACCAATAGTAATGGAAAGGAAACTGGGACTCAAACCAAGGGAGTAGACCAGAAGGAAGAAAAAAATGACCAAACAGAAAAGAATGAAGAAATAAGAATTCAAAAAAATGAGGACAGGCTTAGGAACCTCCAGGACATCTTTAAAAGTTCCAGTATCTGAATTATAGGGGTAGCAGAAGGGGAAGGGGAAGAGGAACAGCCACAAGTGGAAAACTTATTTGAACAAATAATAAAGGAGAACTTCCCCAGAGAACTTCCCCAATCTGGCAAAGGAAAGAGACTTCCAGGATATCCAAGAAGCTCAGAGAGTCCCAAAGAAGGTGAATCCAAGGAGGAACACACCAAGGCACGTCATAATTATATTAGCCAAGATTAAAATGAAGGAGATAATCCTTGATGCAGCAAGCGATAAGGGACAAAGGAGTTCCCATCAGACTGTCAGCTGATTTCTCCAAAGAGATCTTCCAGGCAAGAAGGGGCTGGAAAGAAGTATTCCAAGTCATGAAAGGCAAGGGCCTACATCCAAGATTGCTCTATCCAGCAAAGCTTCCATTTAGAATGGAAGGGCAGATAAAGTGCTTCTCAGATAAGGTCAAGTTCAAGAAGTTCATCATCACCAAGTCCTTATTACATGAAATGTTAAAGGGACTTATCTAAGAAAAAGATTTAAAAAAAAGATGAACAGTGAAAGGACAGCAAACAGTTATTAACAACCACACTTAAAACAAAAGCAAACTAAAAGGACAGCTAGATCAGGAACAGACCCATAGAAATGGAGATCACATGGAGGGTTGTCAACAGGGGAGTGGGAGGAGGAGATGGGGGGAGAAGGTACAGAGAATAAGTAGCATAGACAGTGGATAGGAAATAGACAGGGGGAGGACAAGAATAGTATGGGAAATATAGAATCTAAAGAACTTGTGACACATGGACCTAAACTAAAGGGGGAGGAATTATGGGGGAGGGGTGTGCAGCATGGAGGGGAATGAAGGGGGATATGGGAAAACTGTAATGGCATAATCAATAAAAATATATAAATAAGTAAAATTTTTTAAACGTTATAGGAGTAAAAGATATAAACTGTACTTGAACAATAATTAAATAAAATTTAAAAATAAAAAAAACATGTTGTATATATTGTGTATTAAAAATTATAACAATGTGCCCTGGCTGGTGTGGTTCAGTGGATTGAGTGCTGGACTGTGAAGCAGAGGGTCACTGGTTTGATAGTCAGGGCACATGCCTGGGTTGTGGGTCAGGTTCCCAGTTGGGAGCGTGCAAGGGGCAAACACACATTGATGTTTCACTCCCTCTCTTTTCCCTCCCTTCCCCTATAAAAATAAATAAAATCTTTTAAAAAATTATAACAATGTCAACACTAATTTTTACCACAGAATTAATACCACTTTGAGAGATGATATACAATAGATGGCTTATATTTCAAAAACTTGAACTTTTGCATTCTCTCAAATTTGAAGAAGACAGCAGTTTAGTATCAAGACAAATAGTGAAAAAAAATAGAAACACAGACCAGATTAAGCAATGCCAATAACTAAGGGCATATGAAATGGCTTTGTATAAACCGAGAATTGATTGCTTGTCCAGAGTTTGTTATTAACTCCCAAGTGGTAACAAAAATGTTCGTTTTAGGAGACCACAAGAGATTGTATTTGGTTTCAGATTAAATTTGGACTACACTGAAATTAGAAACTGGTTGTCTGTTGAGGAAAAGGTCCTAGATCACTCATGGCTAATGAGCAAAATAAACCCAACATCACAAAACTTCATCTGCAAAAGGAAATAATGAGAAACACATGGGGTCCAGCCCACGGGAGGGGGCGGGGTCACACAAAGAAGGGTGGTGTTAGCGCCACATTGGAAGATCCCGCCCGCTCGCCCCTCCTCCATGACGTCCCAGGCAGGGCCCGCCCCCAGCTGCTGAAGACTCCAGTTATTTCTGCGGCTCGCTAACGCCCCGGAAGCTACCCCTTCTCGGGGGTCATGATGGGCAGTAAGATGGCGTCCGCCAGCAGGGTCGTTCAGGTAAAGAGATTCGGTCTCCTTTCCGCACCAAGGGCGGTAGGGATGGTGCTGACTATAGCTAAAAGCACTGGGGAGGAAAAGCGGTGGCGGAGCCTGCGCGGCGTTCGCAGCCCTGAGTATAGGGCCGGTGGCGTCGCATGGGGGTGTGTGAGAATTGGACCTTGAGCCCGTTGGGTCGGGTAGTAAGCCGGTGACCGGAGCTGAGGGTTCGAGCCAGGCCACGGGCGTGTCGCAACTTAGCAGGTAGGCGCATAGCTGTTTTGTGGAATATGTAGATTGGCCTCTGCGAGGACCTCGTTTACTCTTCAAGGTGTCTGCGGCTAGGCTGCCAAGGCTATATCCTGGCCAATCGGTGTCTGGTATAGTCTGTGATGCCCCTCTAGTATAGCCCGATCAACCAATCAGAAGAGAGGCGATAGCGGTGAGGGAAAGCAAGCAAGCCCTGCATTGACCCAGTGTGTCCCTTCAAGGACTTGGGAATGGCCTGAGAACTGGCTGCACCCTCGCCCCACCAATTCAAGTGTCTGGTTACAGGCCAGATGGGAGGGAATTAAAAAATAAAAAGAATAAGATTACTTAACTTTAACTGTGATATTTTAGTGTTGGTTTCCCGAGCTTCCCCCCCCCCCAACCCCAAGTTTAGATTGGCAGCTAGAGGAACTTTGTTAATCCACGAGTTAGTAACTCCTAATAGCTTTTGTTCTGCTCCTCCAGCTGTGGTCTCGAACTTAAATAGGGGAGGTTAAATTGGATAAAGAAACACAACTTCCACTTTTGTAGTTGGTTTAAACGATCTTTTTCAACTATTGAGACTGTATTACTAATTTTGATACGAGAATTGCATTGCTTTTTGCACAAGTATGTCTTTAAAAGACCTTTTGTTAAAGTTGTGTCAGTCTATAAAATAAAATCCTAGATCCCAGTCTTGGTCTCATTGCAATGAATGATCCTCAGATATTTATTGAGTATTTGAGTGTTAAAAATTCTGTGAGAATAAGATGAACATTTAACAAAGAACTGGTATTCATAATATATAGCCCAATTTAAAAGTGGATAAAAACAATGATACTGCACAAAAGAAGATATCCAAATGAGCAATAAGCCTTGAAAAGATGCTCAATATCATTACTTGCCAGGAATATACAAATAAAACCCAAAAGTACTGCTACACCAACCTAATGATTAAAATTAAAATAACTGACAGTACCAAATGATGTTAATATGAAGCACCTGAAATCCTCATATATTGCTGGTAGGAGTATATAAAATGGTGCAGCCCCTTTGGGAAACTTTTATTGGTTTCTAATAGTTGATTATACCTTCCTTTGACCTATCAATTCTACTCATAGATTTATACTCAAGAGAAATGAGTGTATATTCTATATAAAGAAGACTTAGATGAAAGTGTTCATAGCCACTTTATCCATAATAACCGTCAAACCAGAAACAATCCAAATGGCCATTAGCGGGATAAACAAATAGTGGTAGATCTGTTAAAATAGAATAGTACACAGTAATAAAAAAGAACTAACTAATATTTTTTTTAAAGAAAGGTACTGTGAGGTATACAATAAGGAATGGTCTGTCCCCTAACAGTCGCAATGACTTTGACTAAGATATTCATAATACAAAGCAGTATGTGCTGACATTAAATAATTACATATTATGTTAGCAAATTGTATTGAGTACTTCTGTTCCAAGCCTATATTCAGTGCTGGGAACTCCAGTGCCAGCAAAACAGACGTAGTGCCTCCCATCGAGCTTGCAATTTGGCTGTAGACTCATACCTTAAAGAAAGGGTAATATTTTGACACTTTGGCACAAATTCATGGGAGTTCACAAAGCATGGTGTCAACATTAAGTAGAGAAATTTGGCTGGACTACAGGATATTCAGAAGTAATTTTAGAAGAGTAAGTTACAGTTATTAATGCCTGCTGAATGCCAGGCAGTATATATTTGATATGTTTGGGCTGCTATAAGAGCAGAAAGGAGAGTTTGTCGTTTAGGAAATCATTTCCTAAATGATTTAGGACTGCAGGAGACACAGGTGAAGAAGCTGGGTGGTTGGATTAATACAGGGATTGAGATTTACAGGTTTCACCTGTAAGCCTCCAGCAAGGAAGTAGAGAGTGCTGGTAAGAGGAGGTTGAGTGAACTATAGGTTCTAGGCTTTTTTCCACTCAAAAGAGGTTATACTATTTTGCACTCCTATTCTGCTTCCCTCCCTGTAGCCTTCCCAAAAGTCTTCAGTTATCCAAATTGTACATTAAAATGTAATAACATCTACTGATGAAAAATATTAATCTCCATGTAATTTTAACTTTGATTTCTCTTATATGTGAGGCTGACCATCTTTGCATATGGTTAAAGAGCTATTTTCATTTGTCTACCTCTGGAAGTTATCTTACCCATTTTTCTATACTTTCCAGTTCTATATATAGCATGGCTATTAAACTTTGGCCTGTTGCAAAATTTTACCTAGTCGGTTTATTAAATTTGGGGGAAAAGGTAAATTTTTTTCTTTTTTTTAGTGCAGTCCAAATAGTGTGGGAATTTCATCAATAAGGGCATATTACATCATAGCTTTAAGTGTATAAAAGCAATGTTGAAATGGATTCTTTCCCATATACATGCATATGTGTGTATTAAGTATGTGTATATATACTTATAGGCTTATATACTTAGTTTTACCATAGAAATAGCTTATTCATTCATTTGGCAGATGTTTTCTGAGCATTTACTGTGTTCCAGGCATTGCTGCAGAAGTACTAATTCTCTGACTCTGCCTTTCCCAGAGCTTAGCTGTCCTGTAAATCATTGACTTGTTTATCTGTCTGCTGCACAGTGCTCTTAAGATGTTCAGGATACTGTAGAAACACAAATGAGAAAAGTCAGATTTTGGAGTCAGGTGAAGTTTCTTAGAAAGCACTGATATTTGAGCTGTTGTAAAAGATACGCAGTCAGGTGAAAGTGGAGGCATGCAAATGGGTGGGATTGGGGCAAGATTTCCTGGTAGAGGACATAAGCTCTAGATTGAATGGGGATGGAAATGGCATGATGAATTGGGCAAGGACAAGTATGTGTTTCTCTGGGTACAGGAACAAGCCTTAAAAGGGCTATCAAATGTTTAAACCTATTGTGTGTGAGTTTTGGGATCATAGATAGTGTTTCCTCTATGTGCTCTTCTGCATTTTCAGTATACTTTTTATCCTGTTCTAAACTGCTACACAGTAACAGAATAGGGAAACAACACAGGACTCAAGTCAGGAAACTTCAATTCTTACCAGTTAACAGCACAATGTATTAAGTCACACAACATAAGATCGGTGTCATCTTTTTCATAGGGTTGTCTTTTGAAGTCAGTTGGCAGTACAGTAAAATGTCTTATAATGTATAAAGTACAAAGTTCTTATGACTTGCAAGTAAGATAAACAAGTTAATTCATAGGCCAGCTTTCCGGTTTGGGGAGGAGTAAAATTTAAAATTGCTGTCAAATACTAAGTTATTTTATTTTAATGAAAATACAATAGTAGATCTTTTAATGAAGATATGTGGTTCATAGATTTCCTGGTAGAGGACAATATATAGCTAATGACATATATATAGCTAATGACTTTATTTTAGTGTTTTCATCTTTTTTATGTATTTTATTCTTCCTTTAGGTAGTCAAGCCACATACTCCATTAATAAGGTTCCCTAACAGAAGAGACCATCCTAAACCCAATGGTAAGTTGTACTTCAGATTTTTTTTTTAAGTGTACATGTATATTTCTACATGAATATCCTATCATAAGCAGTATTTTTCATTTTAAAATTGGGTACACTTCGTAACTTAGATGAAAATGGTAACTTAGGTTGCATGCAACTAAAAATTAAGTTATTACCTCCATTTAAAAAGGAAATGACTCAGCAATAGATGCTTCGGAATTTTTAATGATACAGAGTTTATATAGGGGAATTTTTGTTTTACCTTTCTTTCATTCTATTCTTTAGAATAATCTCCCATGCTTACATTTAAGATATTGTGAGGAATAATAACCATTTCTATATTTCTTTCCCAGTTAACCTTTTTTTCATTTACTCATTTATTTATTCAACCAGTAAATATTCTTAGATTGCTGTAGACCTTAGCAATCATTGCCTAGAAAGTAACTGAAGATTCTGAACAAGTCCTGTTTTTCTCTGACCCCTTCTTTTTACCAGATCCTCTATCCCTGTCTTCATTATAAGATATTTAATCCTTAATTCATGGAAAAAACTTTTTTTAAAGATTTTATTTATTTATCTTTAGAAAAGAAGAGAGGGAGAGAAACATCAATGTATGGTTGCCTTTCATGCATCCCCTGCTGGGAACTGGTCTGCAGGGAACTAGTCTGCAACCCAGGCATGTGCCCTGACTGGGAATCGAACCGCAGTTGTCTGGTTCACAGGCCCGTGCTCAATCCACTGAGCTACACCAGCCAGGAAATTCATGGAAAATTTTAAACAAATTTTATACAAATATTTTTAACTTACTGTAACTCTATGAATTAAGATATAGTCGATAAGTAAGTATAAAGGTATTGAGAAAACAGCCCTGGTTAGTGTGTTTCAGTGGATTGAGTGCCTGCCTCTGAACCAGAGGGTCACTGGTTCAATTCCCAGTCAAGGCATATGCCTGGGTTGCAGGCCAGGTCCCCAGTGGCGGGTGTGAGAGAGGCAGCCCTACATTGATGTTTCTCTCCCTCCTTCCCTTTCCCTCTCTCTAAAAAATAAATAAATAAAATTTTAAAAGAAAAAGGTTTTGGAAGCCCTGGCTGGTGTAACTCAGTGGATTGAGCACGGGCCTGTGAATCAAAAGGTCACAGTTCAATTCCCAGTCAGGGCACATGCCTGGGTTGCAGGCCAGTTCCCAGCAGGGGACATACAAGGGGCAACCATACATTGATATTTCTCTCCCTCTCTCCTTTCCTTCCCTTCTAAAGATAAATAAAAATTTTTTTAAAAAGGTTTTGTGAAAACAAATCTCATATAGAGCAGAATTCTCATTCCGAACTATTGTAAGTTACCTTATTACCTGTGAACTCCACCATATGACAAAACTTAAGCCACTTAGGTTATCTGTATGGGTTGAACTCCACTACCTAGAAATTTCATTTTGTAAACTTGTTCAATTTAGTAATTCACTCACCTAACACTACCCTCTGTATTTGTTTAAGAACTTTATAAAATATTTTTTAAAGATTTTATTTATTTATTTTTAGGGAGGGAGAGAAACCTCAATGGGTGCTTTCTATATGACCAGGGAACCAACCTGCAACCCAGCCATGTACCCTGACTGGGAACCGCGTTGCAGGAGGATACCCAACCAACTGAGCCACACCAGTCACAGCCTTTATGAAATTTTATATAGCTACCCAACTAAGTTACTCTCCAAAACTTACCTCTCAGAATTATAATACTATTTCAAGGATGACTAGATTACTCAGTAATAGATCATGCAAAATAGTATTTTAAGACATCCAAACAATTTCTCTAATTACATTTTTTTAATTTCAGTATCAGAAGTTCTGAGCTCAGCAGGACTACCGTCTCATTCTTCTTCAATTTCACAGCACTTTAAGGGAAGTAAATCGACAGATTGGCCGATGCATCAGGGGCCACCAGACACTGCGGAAATAATAAAAACATTACCTCAGAAATATAGAAGGAAACCTATGTCTCAAGAAGAAATGGAATTTATCCAGGTATAATTGTTGATCTTTATCACAATATTGTGCAAAACACCTTAACATTTTGAGCTGTTGGAATTTCATGTCCTGATTTACATGCCTCTCCCATTGTCTTGTCACGGTGTATCCATAGCTAAGACACAGATGGTCTAATAGGCCAGGACTATGAGAAATAAATCGTGTCCGAGCCCTCAATTAATGTGCATGGAAGAATGTATGTGTAGAAGTATCATATTTAGAAGCAAGAGATATAACCACATGAAAAAGCTCTTTAGGGTTCGTACTAATTTTTCAGAGTATAATGATCTAGGTCAACCTTGAGTCTTTCCAGATCTGAAATTATTCATAACATTTCTATGAGTGCCCACAAGCAATGGAAAAATCCCAAAATTACTTTTAAAAAACTAAAGATCATTTGCTTAAGATAGTGTAAATTTGTATAGTGGCTATGAAGACATTTTTTCTGTGAATGTGATAGCTAATCTTACTGTTTTATTTTTTTCTTTTCAGCGTGGAGGTCCAGAATAATCACTGACAGTGGCTGCTGTTTGTCATCAGACAGAAGGATAGTCTTGCAATAAAGGACTTCCAACATGACAAATGAGAAATTGTACATTAAACACCTTAAATATTCTGTAAAAAAGCTATATAGAAAATTCAGACGGACACTTATAACATCTCATAATTTATGTATCTTGGTCAGCTCCTCCACAAGCTTACCTAATTGTTTATATACTTTATACTTATTAAAGTACACATTTAAAATGTTAGCCTATTATTTTACTCTTAATTATTAAGTATTATTAGTGTTGAACTATTAAAAGAACACAATGTCTAGTAAACCATCATGTATTTCCCATAATTTCATTTTTCTTTCAGTTTCTATTTAGATATGAATTTATGGGGCAGAATTGCTGCTTTTTGGAAGTGATTTTTATGAAATTGGATGAGTATCAGTGAAATAATGTCTCCATTATTTATTCTTAATTCTTTTTTTTAATTTAGTTATTGTTCAAGTACAGTTTTCTGTTTTTTACTCCCATCCCAGCCCCCCCCCCAGTGCTCCCCATATTCTTGATTCTCTTAATATTTTTTTCATTCACAAAGTTAGTGGAGTAACTGGCTTAATAAGCACATCCTACTCTGAACGATAAAAATATAGCCAAAGTCTATATAGCCAATATAGACTTTGTGGTAGTAAGACAGGGGAGTTAACACAAAAGATTATTTGTCACCTATTTTTAGAAAAAAAGTCAGTATAAAATCAGAGATCAACATGAATATAGTATAGGTATAATGGCCAAAATTGGCAATTTCTTATGTTTTTAAGGGTATTAAGAAAGTGTTGTTTTTTGGTTTATTTTACTGTTTTGATTGTAATAATGTATGCAAATCCTGGTAACCATTAATTTTCTCAAACTTAATGTCTGAAAGCTTCATAAAATCAACCTAAATATTTACCTTGTTAAGGTGATATATGAAACTTTAAAAAGGTCTTCTTGTGCCAAGAGTATATATTATTGTGAAAGTAAAGTCTCATAAAGTGAAATAAATTTTCTTCCATACCTTTATAGATTTCTAGAATATGCTTTAAAGAAGTCATCCCTAGCTTTGGCCAGGTAGCCTAGTTGGTTAAAGCATCATCCTGATACACCAAGGTTGCAGGTTCAATCTCCAGTTTGAAGCAATCAGTGAATGCATAATTAAGTGGAATAACAAATCAGTGTTTCTCTTTCTCTCCCCTTCCCTCCCCATCTTCCTCCCTCTCTCCCTAAAGTCTCTCTCTAAAATCAATAAGCACATCTTTGGATGAGGATTTAAAAAAGTAGAAAAACTAGCACTATTCTCTCCTTAGCTTTTGCATTTCAGTGAAAATTCCAGGCGATTTTTGTGGGGTTTTTTTTGTTTTGTTTTGTTTTGTTTTTACTTTAAGAAACTGGTTTCAGTTAAAGAGCAGCCAGCAGTTTGAAACCCTAACCCTAATACTGTGTGAGGGCCATCTCTACTAGTGCTGCTGCCGTGATAGGCCCAATGAAAAAATATGACTTAGAGAATTTGCAAGTACAGATGACAAAAAGACATGTCAGTGGAAATTTCTGTCATAAGGATGAACTCCAAAGGAAGAGGGAGTCATAAAAAGAATTCTGGGTTGCCCTGCCCAAGTAGCTCAGCTAGAGCAAGCGTCGTCATGTCCACCAAAAGGTTGCAGGTTCGATTCCTGGGCCGGCCACATACCTAGGTTGAGTGTTTGATCCCCTGTCTGGACACTCGGGGAACAACTGATTAACATTTCCTACATCCATGTTTTTCCCTGCCTTTGTTTCTAAAATGATAAATACATCCTCAAGCGAGGATTAAAAAGAATTCTCAGTTGGCTTAGAGTAAATAGCCTGTATTTTCATTTAGGAGTTAAGCAGTTAAATGTATGTAAGATCAGCCAAATTCATCCAATTTTAGGTTTTCTTCTCCAGTACTATACAGTATGATAGAATCAAGTTAGTATTTTGACTTTGTGACAAACTACCCCAAAACTTAGGGGCTAAAAACAAAAATAACCACTTAACTTATGTTTTCTCCAAGTCAGGAATTCCTGCACTGGTTGGCTAGACAGTTTTACCCAGTCAGTGTCTCTCACGGGGTTGCAATCAGATGCTACCCAGGGCTTGACTAACATGACTAGATAGTTGCTGGCTGTTACCAGGAAGCCTCAGTTCCTCTCCACAAGGCTACCTGAGTGAATTCATGACATGATGCCTGACTTCCCCCAGAATAAATTATCCAAGCATATACGGCAGAAGCCTTTTATGACTTAGACTTGGATATTACACTTTTGCCATATTTATTGGTCACGTATAACAGCCTGTTTGTGAGAGAAAACTACACAGTTTCTTAACACCGAAAGGTGAGAATCACTGGGACTGTCTTGGAAGCAGGCCACTACAGTGCATGATAGTGCTTTGTAAATTATCAGGCTATACAGATGCTGAGTGGTATTTTATACATACAATGGCCTAATGAACTCAGGATATCACCTAAACACCTTTGTTAACCCTATTTAAAATAAATTCCCCATATGGGAACTTACGGCATGGCATAATGCTGCTGATCATGTCATATGCCATAGCACTCTTGGGAACCTCAAGCTTCACGGATGTACTGTCAAATTTAGCTCACTACTTAGCTTATTTTTACTACAGGTGAAGTTATATTGTTACAGTGATGTCTTTTAGAAGGAACTTTGGCCTAATTTATGTGACACCATGGATTGTTAGGTATGACTTGTCACAATTAAGAGATTTAAAAATTAAATGGTAAGCATGGTGGGTTTTCTGCAATGTATGAGAATTTTGTCTATGAATGTATCAGAACTCAGTAAAGACCCAAGTAGTAAAAAGAGCTAAGAGGTGACCAATAATAGTTACATAACGGCTAACATAAATTGAATACTGTCAGACACTTTTCTAAGGGCTCTTGAAGTATAAAATTATTTAAGCTTTGCAGCAACCCAATGAGTAGATCCTATTACAGAAGAGGAAACTAGGGACAGAAAGATTAAATGATTTTCCCAAATCATAAATCTAGTGATTGAACATTTGGGCCAGTAATCAATGCAGGCATCTAGATCCAAAACAGGGACTCAGCTTTTACACTACATTGTCTTTGCTAAATTATAAGCCTTGGTATTCTGCTTTCTTCAACATACCTTGGAAAATCTGATTCTCAACTCAGAAACATCAGACAATCCAGTTCAAAACCTTAGAATTATGTTTCCCTTGCCCTACTCAACTTCACCAACACATAGGGTCTGTCAGCAAATCCTATTGGTTAGAAGCCAAACTGGTAACACCTAATACAGCCATCTGGATTACTGCAATAATTCTTTAACTGGCCTCATTTTCCCTTGCCCACCCTCACCCTACCAGTCAGTAGTTCGATCTCTCACAACAGCCAGAGTGAACCTTTTAAAACATGGCCAGATATCATTTACTCAAAACTCTGCAGAGGCTTTCCAGTGATGTCTTTCTTGTCCCACACTACTTATTTGTTAGTCTTTTAACATTTTATTATTTTTGGAGAAGGTAAGGGAGGGAGGAAGAGGGAGAGAAACAAAAGCATGGCCGCCTCTTGAGTGGCCCCCATGGGGGGCCTGGCCAGCAACCCAGGAATGTGCCCAAGACTGTGTATTGAACCAGCGACTCTTTGGTTCACAGGCCACAGCTCAATCCACTGAGCCACACCAGCTAGGGATGTCCCACCCTACTTAAAATTGAAAATCCTAGTATCTCTGTACCCTTTCCCTGCTCCATGATCTCTATAGTACTTATCACTATGTATCATTACATCTTTTTTTTATCATAACATATTTCACTTGTTTGTTATCCTCTCCCATTTGAAGGCAAGGATACTTGTCTTTTTTTCTGGTTGATTTCCTAGTCTAAAACAAAGCCTGGCACACAGTAAGCCCTCATTAAATATTCATTGAATAAATAAATTAACATATTTGTCGATTTAGAAATTTATGAGAAAGCTGAGTACTGATTACAGTTAACACTTGAGCATTTACTATGTATAACCTTTCTGTTGTCTCGTTTAATCCTCACGACCACCTGTGATGTAGTCTACTGCTATTTCCACTTTACAGAATAAACTGATGATGTTGCAGAGCACAAAATTCTTCAGTTGACTTGACTTTTGTTTCCCTGGGCGTGCTTCGCCATAAAGGTACTAATAAGTAAGTATCCCTCCTGACCAGCCTCTAAGAAGTGGGCACGCGTCTAAGTAACCTGAGATTGCGGCGCAAGGCGTCCACAGTAACCGTGGAGACAGAACGCCCACGACCAAGAACCAGAAAGGGTGATCGCGTACAAAAGCTGACACTTCCACACTCAAACATGCCGATTAAGTCCCGAACTCAGAACCGTATCAGAACGCTCAGTTGTAGCCGGTAGTTAAAATATCTAGGTTACAACCGTAACTAGGTGACACAGACCAGAACCGCACAAAACAACCGGCTTCCAACGCCACGTGATCACGTGAGAGGCAACTTCTTCCGGGTTCCTCCGCGGTAACGCCGCTGGGCTCTACCCTGCGTAACTTCCGTGGGGTCGGACCTATTTAATAATACCCACGCCCATCCCGGAAGAGGGGTGGAGCTAGTTAAGCGGCGGAGCCTAGTGGACGGAAGTGGCTGTTGAAGTCTTTAAGGTAGCTTTAAATTCCTGCTGGCTTGGGACATAGGTCTCTCTAGCTGGTGTCGGGCTTCGCGTGCGGATGGCTGTGGACGTGAAGTCGCGAGCAAAGCGTTATGAAAAACTGGACTTCCTCGGGGAGGGACAGGTGAGGCTCTCCTGGATTCGGGGGATCCTGAGGGGATGGCGCCGGGTCGCCTCCTCTGGTCACAGGTTTTCTCGTGCAAGCCAGAGGACTGGTCTTTGGCGGAGGCTGCCCCGACGCAGCTGCTGCCCCGGTGTCCACCCTGAGCGGCCCTCTCCTTCCTGAATTACAGACAGGAACGGGGCGTGGACTGCCCAACTACATTTCCAGCTGCCACGAGCCCGCTCCAAGAGCCCTTGATTCTTCTCTTCTCAAAATCTAAAGTAAAAAGGCAAACAGAAATTTCCCACAAACTTAGGTTATTTTTTGTTTTTCTCTCTAGTTTGCTACAGTTTACAAGGCTAGAGACAAGAACACCAACCAGATTGTCGCCATTAAAAAAGTGAGTTACAGTTTGTTTTCTTTGAGTTTCTTGGAAGATGCAGGTGTGTGTGAGCTGGTAGATGGCCGTTTGACTAATCCTGACCGTGCTCTGCTGATGAGAACTTACGTCATTTTCAAAGAAGGCTAAATTTGTGAGTGCCTTGTATTCCAAGATTGAACTCCGGTTGCACTAGATTTCTGTTCCATTATTTGGAATGGAAATGAAGATGGAGCTGTATGTTTGCACTATAAACTCAGACGTTAGCAAAGGGGGTAAAGACAGCCAGTCCGTTGGGTTCTCAGAACTCTTTAATATCACTATTTCCACCTCACGTGCATCCACTCTGTACATCATTTTTGTGTTTTCTGTGTTCAGATTTACCATGAAAGGCTTTCACCAACATTGATGTGCATGCGTTTTTTTAAAATGATTTAACTAGCTTTTTTATATGCATGCATTCAAGAAACTTAGGTTATATTCAAATGACTTTCTATACGCCAGGCATTTTCACCTACATTTTTTCATTAACCCTCAAAACAGCCTTGCGAAATAGGTAAACTTTACACTTGAGGTACCTGAGGCTAAAAGAGATTAGATGACTTGTCAAGATGATACACAGGTAGCAATTGCTAAAGCTGAGCCGGAAGTCCAGGTGTCCTGCTGCCAGGTTGATTGCCCTTTCCCTACTACTGCAATCAATAACCCTCTCAAGGAGGGGCTGGCTGTTTGCTTATGTCTTTATTTATTGAGTGGTTTTCAATATGTAATTCAAAAACTTAAGGGGCAACAAATGGTAGGTACTTGATCCTTTCCTATATTACTCTTGTCTTTCTGATTCATGATTTCCATTCCCTTCTCGCCTACTAATACTAA